GCTGCACTCCTACAACAGTGACAACACTCCAAAGTTACACCAGAGCCTGTAAAATGCTTTGGGATATCATGAGATCATAGAAAATGCTACATTTCCTCCCCCCCGACCTTTATTCATTAACAGGATGAAGGCATTACTGCTAGGCAGCATTTATTTGCCCAAAGGCAGTTCAGAGTCAACCACGTTGCTGTGGGTCTGGATTCACGTGTAGACCAGACGAGGTAAGGGTGGCAGTTTCCTTCCCTAAAGGGCATTAGTGAACCAGATGGGTTTTTCCCCAACTATCAGCAATGGATTCATGGCCATCATTAGATTCTTAACTCCAGATTTTTTTTTTTCTTATTGAATTCAAATTCCGCCATCGGCTGTGGTGAGATACAAACCCGGGTCCCCAGAATGTTATCTGGGTCTCTGGATTAACAGTCCAGCAATAATACCACTAGGCCATCCCCTCCCCTTCAATTGTTTTTAAAAAAAACCCTTGTCAAGTCCAATCAATCTGTCAGAATTTTGGATTCTATGAAAAATGCGTTTATGATCAAAGTCTGTCTTGATACTGTTGTTTGGTAGTACAAAACTTGAATATTGCTTAAAAAAAGTATTTTGTCAAAGATTTTCATTTTGCACTTAATAGCAATTTTCAAGAAATACCAATGTGAAGGAAAACACTTGTATGTATGAGAGGAGAGTATTGATTGGTGGGCAAATGGTCTTTTGTTGGTAGATACATTGTCACAGAGGATATATTATTTAATGAGGACTGACAGTTAACTTCTAAGCTTTGTTTAAATTTTAAACCAGACAGGTTGACTTTGGTTAAGGCATTTCCCTATGAAATGCATCAGAGAATGCCTATTATCTATTTTACTGAGTTGAAACAGGCACAGTGTGTGTGTTCTTTCTGTATGCAGATAATATGGCCCTGTGTATTAATATATGTAACTTCGAGTACACAGAAGTGTGCCACTCTGTGAGCTTGACTGGCAATTTGTTGTCAGTGTAATTCTTTGCACATTTGGGATTATTTAGCAAATGTTGTCCAAGCACAGAAATAGAACTAAGTTTCACAAGTGCAGGCTGTTTAGGTAATTGGTTTCTTGCTTGTTGTGAACAGCCAGAGCAATGTATTGTTTGATACAATCTGCAAGGCTTTGGCCTACATTGCACGGGCACTAAGTTTCACTTGCCAACCAATTAGCACTCTCCTTTTACGTAGTAAACATGTTATTTTCCCTATACATGAATAGTGTTTGAGAATTGTTATGATGTGTGAAAGATAAAAAGCTTTGACAGCATGTATCTTTTATTCAGCAATCTTCATACTCTATGGTGTGGCATTACTGTCATACTAAATGGGATAGATTGAGAACAGATCTTTCATTCAAACTGGATATCCATGAGTCACTGTGAACTATCAACGGCAGCAGAATTGTATTCAACTACTACCTGTAACCTCATGGTCCCGAATATTACACAACCTACAATTTCCATCAAGCCAGAAGATCAACCTCAGTTCACTGAGAAGTGCAGAATAGCCAAGATCAGCACCCAGCCTATACCGGCAGGACGTGTAGCAAAGCTCTTCCAGTAGAACCACAAGATTACAATCCACCTGACAAATAATACAGAATTACCCAGATTCACCCTGTTCACAAGAGTAAGCTGAATTCATTAATTATTACCCTATCAGTCTACTCTTGATCATTAGCATGCTGTGGAAAGTGTTGTCAGTAGTTCATTAGAGCTGTCAATAGAGCAGTAACCACATCAATAATTATTCCTTGATGTTCAAATTGGATTCAACACTGACCACAGTAATGCAGCTTTTGTTCAGACAGAAAAAAGCTGAATTCCAGAGGAAGACTGACTCTCCTTGACATAAGGGAGCTGAGCAAAAGTGAAGTCAATGGGAATCAGAAGAAAAACTCTCCCATAGTTGGAGTCATACCTAACTCAATCAAAGATGGTTGTGGTTGTTGGAGGCCAATTATCTCAATCCAAGAACATCACTGCTCTAATTTATCAGGATAGTGTCTGAAGTCCAACTATCTTCAATTCTTTATCGATTTTTCTTCTATCATTAGATCAGAAATGAAATTGTTAACAGCTTTTTCATGCATTGCTGAAATTTTCAGGCTTGGGGAGGTGACTGGCAATGGGAGGGAGTGGGTATGAAGCCTGGTGATTTAGTCGGATCAGATCTTTGGCTGGAATAAACACCTTCCTGCCACCTCAGCCTTTGGAATTCAGCCCTCATCAAATTCAACCAGCAACTCTCAGCACCTCCTGCACTGATCCTGCTGAAAGACCCCCATTATAGGAGCAGCATGGTGGCTCATTGGTTAGCACTGATGCCTCAGAGCGCCAGGGACTGAGGTTTGATTTTACCCTCGGGTGACTGTCTCTGTAAAGTTTGCATATTGTCACCGTGTCTGTGTGGGTTTCCTCCGGGTGCTCTGGTTTCCTCCCACAATCCAAAGGTGTGCAGGTTAGGTGGATTTGCTATGCTAAATTGCCAGTGTCCAAAAATGTGTAGGTTAGATGGATTAGCCATGGGAAAGGTAGGGTTACAGGAATAAGGTAGGGGGCACGGCCTGGGTGGGATGCTGTTTGGAGGGTTAGTGTGGACTCAATGGGCTGAATGGCCTGCTTCCACACTTGTAGGGATTCTATGATTCTGTTTACATTTCCATCCAGATTTTGGCGCTATTCTTAGTGGTATTAGATGCAGTCTTCCAGCGGCACTGTTGGGACCAAAGAGCTGCTAGATGATCAGATTGACCGATTACTCTGAGGCATGTAGACTGCAGCAATTCAACATGGGTAGCTGACAGTAATTTCAAGGGCAATTAAGAATGGGCAATAAATACAACAGTGATGCCGCATCCTTTGAACTAATATTTAAAAACTATTATGACAGTAATAGAGTACTTCATGAAAATTATGATACCCTTAAAACAGGAAATACAGACAGTGAAATAAAAACAAACTGCTGAAAATACTTGAGAGGTCTGGTAGTATCTATGGAAAAGAGAGTTACCATTTTGATTGGAATGACTCTTTCAGTTCTAACATTAGATTTCTGAATGTGTTACAATTGTACTGGACTTTGAAACTCTGAAGGTTAATTGTTTTCAAGTAAAATAGAAGAAATCAATGTTCACTATTTGTTGAACTAGTTCAGCTGTATTCTCATCTACATATTGCCTAACTCGTAAGTGCTCTGCCTGAAAGCAGATCCTTGATTCTTTGCCTGTTGATGCTTCATGCTGAACCATTTTCTTGGCAGTTTTTCACAGTAATGCTTTTCAATTGCATTCCTCTATTGGATTGAGTAAAGAGGCTGGTTCCAAGTCTACCTCGGCTGGAAACTCAATTGAACCCATTTTGTCAGCACTACAGTGAACCACCAATGGGCCAATTAGCCATTTAAGCTAACAAGTTCCTCTCCCTTACATGTCTATTGAAAGCTTTTTGAAAAACAATTCTTTTTCCCCCAAAAGACTTCTGTTGACTGACATTTATCTCTCAACTAATTACATTCAAAAAAGATTAAGCATTAATTACAATATCCCACAGTTATCAAGTTTAATTTTTTAATCTGGATAAGATGATTTAGCTGTTCCCATGAAGTTTTCATGAATGTAGAACTAAACATAGAATGGGAAATCATTGTAAAGACATAAAATTAATCCCATTTCTCTGTAGCCAGTTGCATCTGCTTCAAACGTTTTGTGAAGCCACATGATAATCTCTGCTTTAATTAATTCCATACTGCTCAAAGAATCTTCTCCAATCTCCAATTACCTTGATGATTTTAAATTGTTATACCTCTATTCGCAAATAATTTAGTTGATGAGCTACAAGTAATACAAAATTGAGAGGCACAAACAGGACAGATCATGAGAATTGTTTCCCCATGGCAGCCATGTCTAAGACCAGTTAAAGAGGAGGAGTAAGAGGTTTAAAAGAGATCTACAAGAAACAAGTCACCAACAGGATGGTAGAAATATGAAATATGCTGCCTGAAAGGGTGGTGGAAGTAGGTACTCTTGCAAAATTTGCAAAGCATCTGGAAGAGCACTTAAAATGCCAGGACATAATAGACCATGGACCAAGTCAGATAAATTGGATTACTGTAGTTTGGTGTTTATTGGTCAGCAGCATACATATAGTGAGCCAAAAGGCCTGTTTTTATACTGTATGACTCTGACTATGCCTCAAAGGTGCTATATGAGCAGCTTATTAACTTTACATTTCAGGTGCATCTTGCTTACATATTTGTTAAAACATTTACCACAAGATATTAACAAATTTTGAAAACTGCAAGTTGGTCCAATGTACGTTTGGGATTCTCATTACGTAGTTGTTTCATTTTGCCTTCACAACATTTCATTTATATTAATAATTGTCAATTAGATTCTTGACACGATTTGCATAATCTTACAAATCTTCACAGTTCCCTGTGTTAAAGTAATTCATTTGACATCTTTTTAAAACTGTAACATCTAAAGCTTTTAGGTACAAATACAATTCAGATTAATGCGATGGAGGACTCCCCGCTATTGTCTGCAAGGGCTCTATATAAAATGTAATTGGAACATAATCCAGTGCACAAAACCAGCCCAACCGTGGCACTGAGGTGATATAAGATTAGTAAAGTAATCAAGTTGTCATTGGCCAGAGCACACAGCTCCCATCTTTCCTAACAGGCCATGACAACTTCAACTAACTGATAGCCAAATGCAGTAGGTAGACTCTTAAATTTAGCATCGAAATTCTATCCAAGTTGTCTGTTCAGTGTCATTCCACGTGATCATTCCCAAATTTGTACAACTTCTCCTTGATGGAAAAATAGCTGAATTATTTTGAGTAATTACATAGAAGTTAAATATTATGAATTATTCTCCCATATGGACTGTCAGATACTAAGGAGAAAAGTCAAAATTGGTGTTTTCTAAAAATGTACAATATAATAAATAGCTAATTTCACAACTGAATGAAATGATTCACAAACATTAAATTGTTTAATTGCATCACAGTGAGATACATTTTTACATATTACAGGTCATAACTATATGTTGCTTATGGGTACACTTTTGGAGTAATACTTCAATCCCAAACCCTTCGCAGGAGTCACATCAAAGCTCTCTGCAAGAATAAAAACTCCTTGCTGACAGCATGGAATTATGGTATTAATAGAACTCAGCCAACACTTACAAATCACATAAATGACAAAAATGTTGTTTTACTGTTCTTTTCCAGGTGACAGGTGGCAAGTTAGTTCAAACAATAAATGATTTCAAAAACATAAAAGATCCTTTACTGACACAAGCTATCTCCTTGCAAACATTGCAATACAGCATTTAATGTACAAATGGCACCCAGCTCAATAATGATTTACATTAAATTACACTGGAAATTAATAAAGGGCATTAAGTACCCAGTATTTATATTCAAAAGCAAGAACTATCCTGTTCAGTCTGTAAGTTACTTTGAAACAGTCTATAAATAGCAAAGATCTCAACAAAAGTTCAAAACAGATTAATATTTACATCAGTACAACTGTTCTACATTGTATTTAATTCTACAGAAACAAAAACAAACATCAACTGGGTGACTGAAAGCTGCTCATCGCAGAAAATGGATAATTTAACCATATTCTCTCCAGTTATCATTCTCAATTCTAAACCTTTTGAGTCACTTAAGGGTATTAGCATTTATGTCCACAAAATATTGTGCCAAACTACTTGAAAGCTGCAGAGCGTTTTGCTTCACAGAGGATGTCTGGTTCTTCTGAGAACAGATCACAATAATAGCTCTTCAAAATTTTAAACTGTCCACTACGAATAATAATGTGAGGTCTGATCGAAGCAATATAATCACATGCCTTCTTTGGAGTCCACTGATGCTGCTGAAGAAAGGATTCAGAGGTAAACTGTTAAAAGATATTTTCTAAATAGTTATATTTAATTCAGAATAAGATTAGATATGCAAAAAATAAACTGCAATATTTTATAGCTCAGTTTATTCAATCACACCACTACGAAGACTATAAAACAAAAATTAATTACCAGCAAATACAAAACATAGTACAAAAAAACCTGCTGTTCCTTTCAGGAGAATTTAAAGCATTCAATTAACTAAATTTTTTTATGTCAGCAAACAGAGGAGCACTAAACAGCACAGCACAAAAAACATTATAGTGGAACCTATTTGGAGTTGAAGGACCAGCTTTTTGACAAGCGGCAGCTGTAGAGATAAGGCAATTGAAAAGCATCAAGTGGAAAGATATCTTAGAACATGTGGGGGAGGGGCTATAAAAACAGATTTTTACAGGTTAAAAGTGTAAGCATATTGAGTTCAAAGGACATATCTCAATGCAAATATGAGGTTAATAAGACAGCAAAATGAAATACAAAAATAATTGGTAAAATAAGAGCGACATAAGAACAACCAGAGTTGAACCACAAAAGATATTAGAAATAAAGATGTGAAACTAGAAGTGCCCTGTTATATCCTTAATGAAAATTTGGCTAGAGACAGCACAGAAATCTATATGCTTGCTATAAACAGTCCTAGGATACATGTACATTTCTGAAGAAGGGTCTAGGCCCGAAATGTCAGCCTTTAAGAAGGCGTACAGTATGTTAGGTTTTATTGGTAGAGGGATTGAGTTTCGGAGCCATGAGGTCATGCTGCAGCTGTACAAAACTCTGGTGCGGCCGCACTTGGGAGTATTGCGTACAGTTCTGGTCACCACACTATAGGAAGGATGTGGAAGCATTGGAAAGGGTGCAGAGGAGATTTACCAGGATGTTGCCTGGTATGGAGGGAAGGTCTTATGAGGAAAGGCTGAGGGACTTGAGGCTGTTTTCGTTACAGAGAAGAAGGTTAAGAGGTGACTTGATAGAGACATACAAGATGATCAGAGGATTAGATAGGGTGGACAGTGGGAGCCTTTTTCCTCGGATGGTGACGGCTAGCACGAGGGGACATAGCTTTAAATTGAGGGGTGATAGATATAGGACAGATGTCAGAGGTAGGTTCTTTACTCAGAGAGTAGTAAGGGCGTGGAATGCCCTGCCTGCAAAAATAGTAGACTCGCCCACTTTAAGGGCATTTAAATGGTCATTGTATAAACATATGGATGATAATGGAATAGTTTAGGTTAGATGGGCTTCAGATTGGTTTCACAGGTCGGCGCAACATTGAGGGCCGAAGGGCCTGTACTGCGCTGTAATGTTCTATGTTTTATGTTCCTGCTCCTCTGATGCTGCTTGGCCTGCTGTGTTCATCCAGCTTGTTATCTAGGATACAAGTAGTTTTATTAATTGGGACCTTTAACAACAATGTAAAAGGATTTTTTTTAACAGTTAATCACCAGGATTGTTGCACACAGGGAGGCAAGATCAAGGTCAATTTGTGCAGGTGGGAGGGTGATTGGCAGCTAAGCAGCAGAAGGCAGATAAGTTAAAGTCAGGAAAGAGAATGGAATTACTACAAAATTACTACAAAAACACTAAGTAAACAGGGAAGGAGGAGTGGGGGTAAAGATCAATCTAACAATGTTCTTTTGATTCACTGTAAATTTAAAAAACATTTACTGCAAATCAGTTATCTATAACATGTACATGTTAGTATAGCTTTATCTTCCAATTTTAAAAGAATATTTAATGATAAAACTCTGAAACAATCTTTCCTCTCCATTGTGAATATGCAGTTTTGGGAAACAAAATTTCAGAAAGTTTAGGAAGGAAAAAATAAATTGCTCCTTTTTATAGGTTCACACAATCTGCATTCTGCCTTTATCTAATGTTATCTAAATCAGGATTAAGCAACTGAATTTCTTAATATCAAGTACATTAAAACGTACTTATTATATTGTATCTCTCACTGAAATTTTATTCAAATATACTAAAAAGTATAATTAAACACAGTAAATGCTTGAAATATAAAGAGGTCAGGCAGCATCTGTGAAGAGGCGAAGAGTTAATGTTCTGATTAAAGAGTATCAAGAGAGTCAGAGTTGGAATTTTTACGACATGGAAAAAGGCCCTTTGGTCCTTCATGCTGAGGCTGGTCTTCAAACATTCATCTGTTCTAATCTCATTTTCCAGCACTTGGCCCTCAGCCTTATGACATTTCAAGTGTTCATCCAAAAGGTTCTTCATGTTTCAAAGGTTTTAGCCTTTATTAACTTTTTTAGGCAGTATGTTCCAAATCACTACAACCCTCTGGGTAAGAAGAAATTTAGAACAAAGAACAAAGAAAATTACAGCACAGGAACAGGCCCTTTGGCCCTCCAAGCCTGCGCCGATCCAGATCCTCTATCTAAACCTGTCGCCTATTTTCCAAGGATCTGTATCCCTCTGCTCCCTGTCCATTCATGTATCTGTCTAGATGCCCGCCTCTACCACCTCCGCTGGCAACGCATTCCAGGCGCCCACCACCCTCTGCATAGAGAACATTCCACACATATCTCCCTTAAACTTTTCCCCTCTCACCTTGAAATTGTGACCCCTAGTAATTGAGTCCCCCACTCTGGGAAAAAGCTTCTTGCTGTCCACCCTGTCTATACCTCTCATGATTTTGTAGACCTCAATCAGGTTCCCCCCTCAACCTCCGTCTTTCTAATGTAAATAATCCTAATCTACTCAACCTCTCTTCATAGCTAGCGCCCTCCATACCTAACCTCAACATCCGTCATGTCCCTCTCCTTGGTGAATACCGACGCAAAGTACTCATTAAAAATCTCACTCATTTTCTCTGACTCCTCGCATAACTTCCCTCCTCTGTCCTTGAGTGGGCCAACCCTTTCTCTAGTTACCCTCTTTCTCCTTATGCACGATAAAAGGCTTTGGGATTTTCCTTAACCCTGTTTGCTAAAGATATTTCATGACCCCTTTTAGCCCTCTTAATTCCTCGTTTCAGATTGGTCCTACTTTCCCGATATTCTTCCAAAGCTTCGTCTGTTTTCAGTCGCCTAGACCTTATGTATGCTTCCTTTTTCCTCTTTGCTAGTCTCACAATTTCACTTGTCATCCATGGTTCCCTAATCTTGCCCTTTCTATCCCTCATTTTCACAGGGACATGTCTGTCCTGCACTCTAATCAACCTCTCTTTAAAAGCCTCCCACATATCAAATGTGAATTTACCCTCAAACAGCAGCTCCCAATCCACATTCCCCAGCTCCTGCCGAATTTTGCTATCGTTGGCCTTCCCCCAATTTAGCACTCTTCCTTTAGGACCACTCTCGTCTTTGTCCATGAGTATTCACTATTCCCAAAGTAATCACCTACTGAAACTTCAACCACCTGGCCGGGCTCATTCCCCAACACCAGGTCCAGTACGGCCCCTTCCCGAGTTGGACTATTTACATACTGCTCTATAAAACCCTCCTGGATGCTCCTTACAAATTCTGCTCCATCTAAACCCCTAACACTAAGTGAATCCCAGTCAATGTTGGGAAAATTAAAATCTCCCATCACCACCACCCTGTTGCTCCTACATCTTTCCATAATCTGTCTACATGTTTGTACCTCTATCTCACGCTCGCTGTTGGGAGGTCTGTAGTACAGCCCCAACATTGTTACCGCACCCTTCTTATTTCTGAGCTCTGCCCATATTGCCTCACTGCTCGAGTCCTCCAATCGTGCCCTCCTTCAGCACAGCTGTGATATCCTCTTTGACCAGTAATGCAACTCCTCCACCCCTTTTACCTCCCTCTCTATGCTGCCTGAAGCATCTATATCCTGGGATATTTAGTTGCCAATCTTGCCCTTCCCTCAACCAAGTCTCAGTAATAGCCATAACATCATACTCCCAGGTACTAATCCAAGTCCTAAGTTCATCTGCCTTACCTACTACACTTCTTGCATTAAAACAAATGCACCTCAGACCACCTGTCCCTTTGCGTTCATCATCTGCTCTCTACCTACTCTTCCCCTTAGTCACACTGATTTCATTATCTAGTTCCTTACAGGCTTTAGTTACTACCTCTTTACTGTCCACTAACCTCCTCATTTGGTTCCCATCCCCCTTCCCCATTAGTTTAAACCGTCCCCAACAGCGTTAGCAAAAGCACCCCCTAGGACATTGGTTCCAGTCCTGCCCAGGTGTAGACCGTCCGATTTGTAATAGTCCCACCTCCCCCAGAACCAGTCCCAATGTCCCAAAAATTTGAACCCCTCCCTCCTGCACCATCTCTCAAGCCACTCATTTATCCTGCCTATTCTTTCATTTCTACTCTGACTAGCATGTGGCCATGGTAGCAATCCTGAGATTACTACCTCTGAGGTCCTACTTTTTAACTTGGCTCCTAACTCCCTAAATTCTGCTTGTAGGACCTCATCCCATTTTTTTTAACCTATATCATTGGTGCCTATATGCACCACGACAGCTGGCTGTTCACCCTCCCCCTTCAGAATGTCCTGCAGTCGATCTGAGACATCCCTGACCCGCGCACCTGGGAGACAACATACCATTCGGGAGTCTCGTTTTCGACCACAGAACCGCCTATCTACTCCCCTTACAATTGAATCCCCTATGACTATAGCCCTTCCACTCTTTTTCCCGCCCTTCTGTACAGCAGAGCCAGCCACGTTGCCATGAACCTGGCTACTGCTACCTTCCCCTGGTGAGCCATCTCCCCCAACAGTATACCTGTTTTGGAGGGAGATGACCGCAGGGAACACCTGCACTGCCTTCCTGCTTTTTCTCTGTCTTTTGGTCACCCATTCCCTTTCTCCCTCAGCAATCCTAATCTGCGGTGTGACCAATTTGCTAAACGTACTATCCACGACTTCCTCAGCATCGCGGACGCTTCAAAGTGAGTCCATCCGCAGCTCCAAAGCCGTCATGCGGTCTAACAAGAGCTGCAACTGGACACACTTCCTGCACATGTAGGAGTCAGGGATATCAGCCGCGTCCCTGAGCTCCCACATTGAGCAAGGGGAACATAACACGGGTCTGGGATCTCCTGCCATTTTTACTGTTAAGCTTAGCTTAGTCCTACTATAATATCAAATCATAGATAAATGAAATGAAAAAAGTTTTACCAATCACTCTACTTACCAGCACACGATAAAAAAAGAAAAAGAAAAACCTTACCTTCTCAACAAACCACAGAGTCTTTTTTTTGGGTTAGAGGAGGAGGGCGGGTGGGAGACACTACACGTGTAGTGTCTCAGGTTAAGCCACTGCCCAAATATATCAGAGATAACAAGGTGAAGGGCTGGATGAACACAGCAGGCCAAGCAGCATCAGAGGAGCAGGAAGGCTGACGTTTCGGGCCGAGACCCTTATTCAGAAAACAAGCCCAAATACATCAGTTCACTCACCTTCTCAGAGCGCAATTCAACCGCTCCCACTCAGCTCCACTGCCGAAATGAAGAACTTACCTTCCCGGCAGCCCCCTGGTCCTCGCTCTCACCGCTCCCGCTGCTGCTGCAAAAACGGAGGCCGCTGATTCCACGAGGTAAGTATTTAAATGGGAAACTTACCTCCCGGCAGCCCCCGGTCCTTGCTGTCACAAAAATTTCCTCAAATCCCATCTAAACCTCCAACAACTTACTTTAAAACTGTGTTCCCTGCTTATTGACCCTTCTACTAATGGGAAACGTTTCTCCCTAACCGCCCTGTCTATACCCCTCAGACGTTTGTTCAGCTCAATCGGATACCCCCTCAGCCATCTCTGCTCTAGGGAAAATAATACAGTCCATCTAGTCTCTCTTCAGTCTACCATAGTTGAATCAGACCAGGCCAGGCAACATTCCCTCCACCCTCACATACAATCACAACTCTCCTATAGTGTTAGGACCAAAATTATACACAGTACTCCAGCCGTGGCCCAACACTATATACAGCTCCTTCACGATCTGAAACAGTAATTCTATTTCTCCCTTCACAGATACCGTTGGACCTACTATTTCCAGCATTTTATGTTTCCACTTCACATTTCCAGCATCTGTTTTTGTCCTGAACAACAGGGCCCCAGATGCAATTTAAAATAAATTTTACTGGTGTATTTCTGAATGAAGACTGGGGCCACTACTATTGCTTTATTTTCAAGACCAGCCTCAAAATCACAACCCCTTCTTGCAAGATGCAGTAGAGAGAATAATGAACGATGCCGGAATTGAAGGTATATTTCCACTTGTCATCTTGCAATTAGAATGAAGATTTTAGGAGGTAAATGTCCTGCGGTAAAAATTAATTTACCTTTCTATAAGTTATGCAAAATTTACTGATAATAAATTCAGTATTTTACATGTAAAATTACACATCAGATATATAATTATACAATACAACTGTGATTGTGTAATTTGAAGTTTCTTAAAGTTTCAAAAACGAAATACCTATTCAACATTTACCCAGAACAGCCTTTCGCTGTAAGTAATACTTATTTCACTAAAGAGGTTTAGTCAACATACATGAATTAAATACGCTGCCACCATAGTGGCACTGCGTGATCGTCCAGCCTTACAGTGCACATAGACACTGGTTCCATTTTTACGATGCTTAGTAAGAAAATCAACGCCTTTTCTCAGGTCTTCTAATTTTGGCACTCCAAGTATATCCACTGTGCTGAGACGCAACTGCTCCACGCCAAAGGACTCCCATTCCTGAAAACACAACTTCAGTTAGGAATCAACTTGAAAGCATTCTAATGAAGTGCAATACCTCAAACAATGTTGCATTTCTCAATAAAAATCAACGTGTCAAATAATGCTTTTTGTCACAAGGCATAGCCAAGTAAATGCACTGCCAAAGACAGACATGAACATACCTTGTAAAATCTGAATGATAATGCTCATAACTGGCTGACAACCTACATTTAAAAAAGAACTAGTTTCCAATGGTAGTGTGTGCAGAATAAATCTTGAAAGGACTGATCACTTGATATTTTCTATACATTCTTGATTTAATTAATAAGTGGCACAAATTCTGTGAAATTACAGACTGAAGAAATAAAAATTCAATTGCAAAGAAGCATTCCATACTTTTATTGGGGATTCTCTCTCACATAAAGACCAATATATTTTAGCAAAATAGATGTATTCACATGAATAAGAAAATCTTCCAAGGCTACAATTGTGAGACTGTGTGCAAATTGAAACTTTCAATTGCAACACATTTTCATCCTGAGTAATAATACTAATGATGAGGTCATTCATCCACACGCAGTCCAGTTTCAATAACAAACCCAATAACACAAAACCTATATGCCTTCAGATTCTGCATGATCAAATATTTTTTTGTACACGTTACTTCCCTTTTTGTCAGCTTGCAAATCACAAAAAGCAATAAAGCAGCTGCTAAGGAAATTGAAATCGTAATAACATGAAATCAACGCATAGCAGTCAACCTAAAGAAGGCACATAAACATCAGCATTCAGTTTGATGATGCTATAGAGTGGCTCATGACAAAAATGTGAATGTTTGAACATCTTGTAAGGAAAGAGTCAGCTTGTGTCTGATATCCATTGTACTGAAATAACCTTCAAGACACATGGTCCATAATAACACATAGCATAATCGCTGGGACAAAATACCAGACATCAGAGTGGAACTGTAGCCTGGAGGACAGAAAATAGAGATGGCAGCAACCATGGCTCAGAGTCACACAAAGAGCTCAACTGCAAAGCTTGAAGATGTTTTTGGTAAAATCAGTAACTTGCAATTCTCCTCTCTCATTTGGTACAATATTGTTCCGTGATCAGCCATGATCGTGAAGAATGGCCTCCTCCTGCGTTTCTATATTTCTAAGTGCTACATGAAAGGCAGGATGTAGGAGTGAAGTATGAACAAGGTTGGTGACATTTGATGGTAATTACAAATTACAATGCTATTAAAAGATTACTGTCTCATCTCAAAACTCAAACTTATTTTGTATTATTCATCTGCTGTCAATCCTTTCTGCAAAGGGATCCCACACAAAAGGAATATGCTCCACTTCAGTCTAAGTAGTACATTATCTATTGGGATATCTCCTCATTTATGAAGTTTGATTTTTCTACTTACCTTTGTTGTATTCACAAAAAATTTGGTTTCATAGTCTTCAGTCATGGTTATCACTCCTCGAACATTCTCTTTCTTTATTAACTGTAAATCAAAATAAAAGAATCATCGAAGGAGATAAAGCAGACATAAATGTCAACCTCAGACAGACATACAAATAATGTGGACTTTTGCGTAGAAAGATCAAAATTTTTCAATAACACTAATTGACTATCAGTGAATACAGGTTGGATATGGGTTAAGGGACTGTGCAGTAATATAGCATGTATAATTGAAAAGAGATAAATATGAAGTACAAGTAAAATCAAATTCAAACAAATTAAAATTTGAAATGGAGTACACAAACATAGATCTCCAAGAGGACAAGTCACTTAAAGCAAGATTGGAAGTAGAAAACTGTCTCAGGCAAGTGGGAAGATGTATTTCATGTAACCATTGCAGTTTCAGCCACAATTAGAGACTGGTGAAAACTCAAGATCACAGGTTTCTGCCATGGTTCCACCTGTGACTGAACAGACTCATTTTCGACCTCAGATCCTCAGGTACATGGGACAATGTGTCTCACATGTTATTGGGATCGAGAGTGCAGGATTTGCTTCCTTTTCTTTCCTTCTCTGTCACCACTCTGCCTCATTAAGGCGCCTGGACTCAAAAGCGTGATGCAGTTTAATGGACAAATCATAGAATGCAGAAGAGACCCTTCACCCCATCAAGTCTGCACCAATAACTCCCACTAAAGGTGCGCTAATCCCAATTTTCTGCACTTGTCTCATATCCTTGAATGTTATGATATTTCAAGTGCTCATCCAAATATTTTTTAAAAGGTTGTAAGGCTTCCATCCTCCACTACCTTCCCAGATTCCCACCACCCCGAGTGAAAAAGTTTGTTTCAAATTCCCTCTGAATCTCCTGTCCCTTATCGTAAGACTATGCCCCTCATAATTGACCCCTTAACCAAGGGGAAGAACTGCTCCCTACTCACCTTATCTATGCCCCTCAGTCTTATACACCTCAATCATGTCAGCCCTCAGTCTTGTCTGTTCCAAAGAAAACAATCCAAGCCTATTTAAAAAGCAAAAGAACTGCAGATGCTGTAAGTTAGGAACAAAAAAAAACAGAAGTTGCTGGAAAAGCTCAGCAGGTCCGTCAGCACCTGTGAATCAAAAATCAGAGTTAACATTTTGGGTCCAGTGACCCTTCCTCAGAACTGGCCTATCTAATCTCTCCTTACAGCTCAATTGCTCCATCTCAGGCAACATCCTGGTGAACCGCTCTGTACACCAAAGTCAAGTCCTCTCCAGTCTGAGCGAATGAGTAGCAAGCTCCTTCCAATCATTAATGTCAATATGTCAAGGAGGATGCATTACAATAAAATAAAAGGACATAATATGTTGGAGTTAAAAGTTGCAGTGTTGAAGTCACCGTGACAGTGACAGACTGTCTTACTACTTTAAAATGATTTTGGAAGCAAGGTCAATATTAATGTTCAAAAATAAGTAAGTGAATCACAAAAAAAAAATCAGAAAGGTACAGGGATGGTGTGACAGACTTGAGAACTCCAATGGAAGCTAAAATTAGCCTACCGTTGAGAAATCCTTGCACATTTTGACAAAAACTTCACAACCAGAATTTGCTGAACCAAGCAATAAATGGTGCAATTCCTGTCCGATTGTAAAAGATTGTACGCAGATGAGCCAATGTAAAATAGGAGCTTCAGCATTGGTTCTGCTCGATCTTGAAGCAAATTCAGACCAAAATCAGCAAAATGCAAAAAAAAAGTTGCAGAACATAAAGCTCCAATTACATTCGGCACAACTCGAGCTTCTCTCACTTTTGCATCAGTTTAATTTTTTTTAAACGATTTCCCAATCAGCCTGGTCAGAGACGGTATCAGTCACATCGCTGGATCCAGGTAGGACTTGACCCCAGGCCCTCCCGGACACACAGGTAGGGATGCTACCACTGCACCACAAGAACAGTTTAATTAACATCCTCACAGATAGTAAGAACTGTCGATGCTGGAGTCTGAGATAACAAGGTGTAGAGCTGAAGGAACACAGCAGGCCAAGCAGAATCAGAGGAGCAGGAAAGCTGACGGACTTTCCTGCTCTTCTGATGCTGCCTGGCCTGCTGTGTTCCTCCAGCTTCACACCTTGTTATCTTAATTAACATCCTGCTCGAAGCACGAGCCACCCACAATCATGGTCCACTGTGGACCCCAGGTAAAAGGAGTGAACCTCCAGCACACAGAGGTAGTAGGAACTGCAGATGCTGGAAAATCTGAGATAACAAGGTGTAGAGCTGGATGAACACAGCAGACCAAGCAGCATCATAGGCGCAGGAAAGCTGACAGTCTAGGCCCGAAACGTCAGCTTTCCTGCTCCTATGATGCCGCTTGGCCTGCGGTGTTCATCCAGCTCTACACCTTGTTAGCTCCAGTATACAGTCCCGCCTCGTTCCCTAATCCCCGCCCACGCACGCCAGACCCCGCCCCCCCCCCCTGCGTGCCGCGTCCCCAACCCGGACCCCCCCCCCTTCCCCCCGGCCCCCCCCCCCCGCCCAGCCCCCGCCCCCCCACACTAAAGGCGCCCCCCTCCCCCCCCCCCCCCCACATCTATTCACCTCCCCGACTCGCTCGCTTTCCCCCTACCTCATTGGTGAGCGAGCGGAAGGGTAGCGCCCCGATGATGACGGTCTGGTCGATGCGGTCATACCAATGGCGGCCCCACACCTTCGACATGAAGATGTTGTAACCCAGACTCGGGTAGAAAACCGCCCGCGCCAATAGCGCCTCCATCATCAACGGCCACTTCCTATCCTTAACCTCCCCCATACGCACTGGCTGCTACTTCCGGTCCGCCCCCGAACCGCACTCCCCCCACACCTCCCGTCCCCTCACTGCGGTTCCCCTTGGTTGCAGGGACGTCCTTTATTTATTTCTCCAGAGGCAGGGACCACCTAAAGTTGAAACAAACGGCTGGTAATGCACAACCCACATGTCAAATGAAAATAAAACTGTTAGAGTGCAGAAGGAAGCCATTTGGCCCATCGTACCTGCACTAGCCTTATTATTCAGTCCAACTCTATTACTTAGTGCCAACCTCTGCCTTTTCCCCATATCCCTGCACATCATTCTGATCCAAATAATCATCAAATGCCTCAACTGAACCTGCGCCCAATACATTTCTGTGCAGTGCGATCCATGTCATAACTTAAGTATCACTGAATCCCTACAGTGCAGAAGGAGGCCATTCGGTCCACCGAGTTTTCACTGACCCTCTAGACATCATCCCACCCTGTCCCCGTAAACCGGCATTTACCACAGCTAATTCACCCAGCCTGCACAACCATAAAACGTAGGAGCAGAAATTAGGCCATTCAGCCCATCAAATCTGCTCTGCCATTCAATCATGGCTGATAACCGTGGACACTATGGGGCAATTTAGCATGGCCCATCTGCCTAAACTGCACATGTTCGGACTGTGGGAGGAAACTGGCCCCGTCGGAAAGCCATGCAGACACAGGGAGAACATGCAAACTCCGCACAGTCACCCAAGGCTGGAATTAAACCTGGGTCCTTGGCGTTGTGAGTTAACAGTGCTAGCCAATGTGCCACCTAATGTACTGTGCGAAAATGTTTTTGGGCACATCACCCTTGCTTCATTTACAGATCACTCATACTTGTTTCTTTTACAAGTGGAAACAGCTTCATCCTATCAACTCTTGTCCACTTTGCTCATGATTGAAGATGTCAATCAGATCTCCTTTCAGACATCTTTCCAGGGGGAAAAGCCCCAACTTCTTCAATCTATCCTCATAGATGGAACCATTGCAATAAATCGCTTCTGCACTCTCTACAATGCCTTTACATCTTTCCTGTAGTGTGACATGGGCTATATACAACTATATACAATACTCCAGCTGAGGTCTTAATAATCATCTTGTACGAGTTCAACATCACCTCCCTCCCCTTGGACTTTATTAATAAAGCTGAGAACTCCACATGCTTCATTTATTGCCCTGTCTACCTATGCTGCCACTTTCAGTGATCTGTGAATATACATATATACCCAGGTCCCTCTGCTCCTGTACATCTTTTAAAATTATACCCCTTATTTGTATTGTCTTTTGGTCTTCTTCTGAACAAATTCTCTGCATTGAATTTCACCTGCCATCTATCGGCCCATTCCACCAACTTGTTCTGCAAACTTGAAAATTGTACCCTACACACCAAAATCCAGGACATTAATATTAATCATGAAAAGCAAGGGTCCCAATAATAACCCCTCAGGATCTCCACTACAAACTTCCCTCCAACCAGAAAAATATTCATTTATCATTTCCATTTCCTCTGATTCCTATACCGGCAATAAATGCACTAAATGAGCTGCTGCTTATCATGAAGGTTACTGTCACCATAAGAAATCCTGAAGAAGGGTCACTCGACCCAAAACGTTAACTCTGATTTCTCTCCACAGATGCTCCCAGAGCTGCTGTGCTTTCCCAGCAATTTCTATTTTTGTCTCCAATTTTCCAAATTGCTGGGTAGATGCCACTGTTGTAGCTGAATAGGAATAGCTTGGCTGGCGGCATGGCAAATTCTGGGGCACAAATCTTCAGTATCATTGCCAGAGCATTGTCAGGGTCTATAGCCTTTGCACGATCCAGTGTCTTCTGTTGTTTCTTGATAATACTTAAAGTGAAGTGAATTGGCTGAAGTCTGGCAAATGTGATGCTGGAGGAGATCAAGATGGATCATCCACATGACACTGGCTGAAGATGGATGGCTGCAAATGCTTTAACCTTGCCTTTTGCACTGATGTGCCGGGCTCCCCCATCATTTAGGATAGGGGTTCTTGTAGAGCCTCTTCTTCTGAATTTTTAACTATCCGCCTTCATTCATGACTGGAAGTGGCAGGATTGCAGAGTTTAGATCTGATCTTTAAGCTGTGGCATCACTTATCTCTTTGCAGTCATAATATTATTTTTAAAATCTGTGTTGGATACCCTGGAGAGTGTATCCTGTATCAGATGTTCTCCAGCTCTCGCTTGTTGTAGTCAAGATCCTTTCTACGAGACTGCTGTTTTGAATTCAAAATTGAGACAAACTAAATTGAGGTGTGAATTACTGAAGTATGTTACACATGGAGAGAACAGACTAGTTGCTTTGTCATGTAGGCCTATTGTAGCATTCATATTTTGTAGAGCGCTTCAGTTTTAAAATAAAGTGCAAATGCACAAATAAAATTTCTGTTGCTCAGCATTACTTTGAATACCTGTCCATAAACATAACCATTTAAATTTACAAGAGAAATAGACTTCCATTAGGTTAAAATTATACCTTTGAAGAGCAAGATGATCCAATTGTAGCCACTAGCAGGTTTAATGTTAAGTTTTATATCATTTATACATTTGAGGAACATTTTATACATTAATAAACACCTGCATTACGAAACATTATATTCCTCTGTCCAGCATTAACCCTCATAAATACTCAAATGCATTTCAGAATGTCCTCTTGAAATGCCCATTTAAAATGACCTACTGCCTGTTTTTGCTAAGATTTTGCACGTTCCACTGACTTTATCTATATTTGTATATATAAACATATCTAAATAATGGTATATTTTAAGAAGTTTTCAGGTAAGACCTGTAAATTGTTTGAACCACCTGACTGAAATGTTGCAGCTCAATCTGAATACTCTTGATTAAGACAGTGAAATTCCAATTCATTTAATCTTTGTCTTTTCCATTTTGTTTAGCTTCACTGTCTTATAAACTCTGCCTTCAGCCCAACGCCATTCAGATCCACTCAAGTCCTTTGTGCTTGGGGAACTTACAGCACTAAGTCTGATGGCACGCGCACGGAAACCACAAGAAAATGGAAATTCTTCAGTAACAAAGGCATTTTCCTTGCAATCAGATTATTTATAAAACAACAGGTGACAGTCATTACCATTTTTCCGTGAACAAAGATTTCCCTGTGAGGCACAGACTGCCATCAAATGTAGGTATCTAACTTTGCAAATTAAAACGCAAAAGACTGCAGATGCTGAAAATCCGAAATCAAAATTTGGAAAAGTCAGAACGTCTGGCAGTCTGCGTGGAGAGAAAGAGCTGATGGCTTGACAGGGTGTAGCCGAAGCTGGAAGCTTGCACTGTGGCTGCAGTGAGAGTGACTGGGATAGGAATGGGTGCCGGAAAAAGAAAGTGAGGTAAGTAGGAGCCAGGAGGCTTTATCAACCCCCTAATCTCTGCCAGTGGGAGCAGGTTCCATATGAAAGAGTGTATATGGTTCACAGATCACAGCAATCGAGCCCTGCGTTATCTCACCTCCTGGGAGCTGGTGAACCACGCACATAGTGAGGGTCCTCGGCATCTCGGAGACAAGTGGAACTGAATGAGAAAATCCATCTCAATTGACTCAGAACCACGGAATGTAGTCACAGCACATAAGGAACTCATTTGAGTCATCTTGTCTGTGCGCATTGCTGCTACTGACTAGACAACCATTACTACTGCAAGTCCACCTCTGGGAAAAGCACACAGAAGAACAAGACGGCAAGTGCATGGGGCATTGGGCCGATGACCATCATTCGAAATTTGCCCAACCCTCCCCCGGCAGCAATCTCCTTGGTTTGGGAAAATCCTAGGCTTTGATTCAAGTTTCTGCTCTGTAATTCAGCCTGAATTAGATTGAGAACACATCACGAGGTGAATTTTACACATCAATTCACCACCCTTCACATCAGGCAAAGTGGATATAATTTTGAAAGTACATCGGTAAAGTGACTATGTATTTAGTTTCTGTTTCCATCATATGAATGCTGCATAACTCTTACACAATACAAATATACATACTTTTTCCTGAAAACTAAGAATTAATTGGTATTAACTTTTGTGTATTTATACTCTTAAACATTGTGGGTAGAAAATATGTCATTCTGAGAATGAAACAACTAACACACAAAAGTGATCATCAAAATTCATTGAGAAATAGACTTAACTTTGTGTAATTTCAAGTATTTCTACTTGATAAGACTAACAAGTGTTCATGTTCCATTCACATTGGCAGAATTGAGCATTCCCATGTTTTTAATGATGTTAAATTATGCTATACTAAGATAAATTTAGAATTAAGAATTCCAAAACAGAATGACTTTAACTTTACTATGGATACTGTAAAAGTATATACATAAAGTGTATAATGTTACATCATAACCTTAAAAACTGATCCCAGCTAAGTTTGCTCCTTCATTTAAAATTTCTGTAGTATCTTGGATAATCTTAGTAGTGCTCAAGCTAGATTGATTTCCAGTCTCCACTTAAATCCTTCCATCCCTGTACTTAGTCATAGAGTCACAAAGCATGGAAACACACCCTTTGGGCCAACCAGCCTATGTCGAACATAATCCGAAACTAAACTAGTCCCAGCTGCCTGCTCCTGTCCCATATCCCTCCAAACCTTTCCTATTCATGTACTTATCCCAACCTTTGTTTCACTTGCTGTAAAGTTTATAAAAAGTGTAGGATAAACAGAGCTTATCACTTTCAGGTTGGCTAATAAATGTTGTAACTGTGTCCGCATCCATTACTTCCTTAGGAAGCTTATTCCACACGTGAACTGCCCTCTTTGTAAAAAAAAATTGCCCCTCATGTCTTATTTTAAATCTCTCTCCTCTCTATTACTTTGAACTTAGTATTTCAAAGCGTCCCAGTGCCCTGTAGTGGTGATTGTTAAATATTAACCAGTTGTTACTCTGTCAATCAATACAAATTGTAAACTTCTCAGTTCTCTTTGTTTTGACTTGAAAACATCACCACACTCAGGTCCATTGATCATAATTAACCATTTCAGCCCAGATTTTCCAGTCAGCTGAAAAGTGATAACATTCATTGACCTGGAAAAAAGTTATACACAAAGATCGAACAATCTGAAACAAAAATGGATTTCACATTTCTCAGAGTCAAGTCAAGGAGATCTCCAGGCGTCTAGCAGCACTGATGTCAGCAGGCAGAGTAAGCAGTCAATCACACTGAGGAATTCTCACCTCAATAGCCAACCTGAAAGTGGTAAACTCTGTTTAACCTACACTTTTTATAAACTTTAGAGCAAGGTTGGGATATACACATTAGAAGTTGAAACGTTGAACAAAAGTTTTAAAAATATTATATCTGAAAGCAACAGAATTTTTATCATAATGAAACATTTGATACTACACCATTATAAAATTAATTTGCCTGGGCCAGAGAGGTTGTTCAATAATAGTTATGACTTTAATGCCATTAAAAATTAAATTAAATTTCCTTTCTAAGGTATAACTTGTTGCGGAGTTAACAATGATATCATAGCATAAAAGAGGAAGTTCTTATCAATTCAGTGATTTTGAATGATTGCAGTCTGCCAGGACATCAAAGGCACTTCCTGTGGAAGAGCAAGAAATCACAGTTTTTAACAGTGTGTGTGCAGAATATGAACACCAGCAGTGCTGCCATTAATACAACAGCAACATCTGGTTTTGCATCTTCTTTTCATGCAAAGACACTCTCTAAGTCTAAACTCAAGGATTAAAAACAAACTTTACTTTTTTTTAAGAACGCCTGTTGACAAATCCACAATTGTTGAGGCAATACTTAATTTTGTTTCCTGATTCAGAAATATTCAGATCTAGGAAAACATTAAGCAGTCTTCATGAAGTTACTTTCAATCTTCCTAAAATAATTACATCCCACCTCAGTGATTACTTTGAAAATTCTTTAAGTTGTCCTCTGATGTAGGCAGGGAGTGGCAGTGTGTCAATGTGAACTTTGTCTATTAGGTGCTGGACGACTGTGTACAGACACTGCTCCTGTAGTGACATGAGCCGACAGCTTCTCATCCAAAGCTGAAGTTCTGTTTCTGCAGTTGTGGAACTGACGATGGGATATAGGGGTACTCCAACCTGTAGGGCTCAAACAAAACTAAAATCAGTGGCACAAACTGTAAAAAAAAATTAAGACATGATCAAGACATGTACAATAATGGTATCTCTACATCTCAGGATGGATTTATGAGATTATGGATTTATGAAGGGGAAATCATGCTTGACAAATCTGTTGGAATTCTACAAAGATGTAACTAGTAGAGTTGACAAGGAGGATCCAGTCAATGTAGTGTATTTGGACTTTCAGAAAGTGTTTGACAAAGTCCCACATAAGAGATTAATGTGCAAGATTAAAGTTCATGGGATTGGGGTAAGTGCGTTGAGATGGATAGAAAACTGGTTTGCAGAGAGGAAACAAAGAGCAGGAATTAATGGGTCCTTTTCAAATTGGCAGGTAGTAAGTAGTGGGGTGCCACAGGAATCGATGTTGGGACTCCGGATATTCACAATATATAGTAATGATTTGGATGGGCAAACAAAATGTAACACCTCAAAGTTTGCAGATGATACCAAGTTGGGTGAGAGGGTGAACTGTGACGAGGATGCAGAGATCCTTCAACATGATCTCGACAGGTTGGGTGAGTGGGCGAATCAATGGCAGATGTAGTACAATTTGGATAAATGTGAGATTATTCATTTCAGAAGCAAAAACAAGAAGGTAGATTACTACCTGAATAGCTGTAAATTGGGAGAGGGGAGTGTTCAGCAGGACCTGGGTGTCCTTGTGAACCGGTCGCTGAACGTAAACATGCAGGTGCAGCAGACGGTAAAGAAGGCAAATGGTATGTTGAGATAACAAGGTGTAGAGCTGGATGAACACAGCAGGCCAAGCAGCATCAGAGGAGCAGGAAGGCTGACGTTTCGGGCCTAGACCTTTCAAGTACAGGAGCAGGGATGTGTCATTGCAGTTGTACGGGGCTTTGGTGAGACCACACCTGGAATATTGTGTGCAGTTTTGGTAGCCTTTTCTGAGGGACAATGCTCTTGCTCTCGAGGGAGTGCAGTGAAGATTTACCAGGCTGATTCTGAAGATGGTGGGACTGACGTATGAGGAGAGATTGACTCGGTTAGGTTTACTGACATTTCCCAACCACCATCAGTTCTGAGGAAGGGTCACCGGACCCAAAACGTTAACTCTGTTTTTTCCTTCATTGATGCTGCCAGACCTGCTGAGGTTTTCTAGCAACTTTTTTTAGTTTTGACTAGGTTGGGATTGTTTTCACTGGAGTTCAGGTGAATGAGGGGGGATCTCATAGAGACTTATAAAATTCTAACAGGACTGGACAGGGTAGATGCAGGGAGGATGTTCCCGATGGTGGGTATGTCCAGAACCAGAGGTCAAAGTGTGAGGATTCGAGGTAGACGATTTAGGATGGAGATGAGGAGATATTTCTTCACCCAAAGAGTGGTGAGCCTGTGGAATTCATTACCACAGGAAGTAGTTGATGCCAAAACACTGAATGTATTCAATAGGCGACTAGATATAGCACTTGGGGTGAATGGGATCAAAGGTTATGGGGAGAAAGCAGGATTAGGCTATTAAGTTGGACGATCAGCCATGATCGTGAAGAATGGTGGAGCAGGCTTGAAGGGCTGAATGGCCTCCTCCTGCTCCTATTTTCTATGTTTCTATGTAAAACATTCTAGTAATTAATGAAGTTTCAGCATTATAACATATACTTTCAAAAAAACAAAGGAATAAAACTGCACCCTTGTACTTCAACTGTAGTGAGGGTTTTAAGTTAAACAGAAATGGGGTATTTTTGGTCATCTGAAACTGGAGTGGTTTATTGTATTAGCTTGTTATCTTCAGCTTGGTAGATGTACTTGTTGTGCATTTTACCTCCAGAAAGCTATCTTTCCTCATATGGTAATGCTCATATTATCCCTCAGAACAAATAATTAGTCATGGGTAACATGGTGTTAAAATATCCAACTGAACATTTATTGCAGCTCACTGATTATGCGTAAATTATAGGGAGACAATGGTGTAATGATATTGTCGCTGGACTAATAATTCATAGGACCCAGGTAATGCTCTGTTAATCAGCATTCAAATCCCATCAAGCCAGATGGTAGAATTTAAATTAAAAGAAAATCTGGAATTAAAAGTTTAATGATGACCATGAAACTATTGTTGATTGTCCTAAAAACCCATGTGGTTCGCAAATGCCCTTCAGGGAAGGAAATCTGCCATCCTTACCTGATCTGGCGTACAATGTGACTGCAGAATCAGACCCACAGCAATGTGGCTAACTAGTTATTACCCTCTGAAAATTGCCCAGACAACCACTCAGTTGTATCAACACAGTTTGGAGCTAGAGGAATACAGCAGGCCAGGCAGCATCAGAGGAGCATGAAAGTTGACATTTCGGGTCAGGACCCTTCTTCAGACTTGTAGCTCGGGTTGTAGATGAAGTTGTAGACTTGCTCGCCGAGCCGGTGTGTTTGGTTGCAGACGTTTCGTCACCCTGCTAGGTAACATCGTAGTGTGCCTCCGGTGAAGCGTTGGTGTTCTGTCCCATTTGTTATTTATATGCCTCGGTTTGCTGGGGTGGTTGGCATCACTTCCGGTTCTGTTTTTCAGTGGTTTGTATATCGGGTCCAGTTCAATGCATTTGTTGATGGAGTTCCGGTTGGAATGCCAGACCTCCAGGAATTCCCTGGCATGTCTCTGTGATATTATGGATGTGTTGGCCCAGTCGAATTTGTGTCCTTCTTTGTCCGTGTGTATTGAGACCAGTGAGAATTGGCTGTGTCTCTTGGTGGCTAGTTGGTGTTCGTGTATCCTTATTGACAGTTTTCTTCCAGTTTGGTCTATGTTGTTTCTCACAGTCCTTGCATAGTATTTTGTATATTATGTTAGTTTTTTTGGTTGTAGGTATGGGATCCTTTAAGTTCATCAGTTGCTGTCGCAGGATGGTTGTTGGTTTGTGGGCTACCCTGATACCTAGGGGTCTGAGTAGTCTTGTGGTCATCTCTGACGAACTAGTGTGTCTGACCGTGTTGCGTCTTCTTGTTGTGGTTGAGCTACTGCCTTGTAGTTGCAACTTTCAGCCACTGGATGGTGTTCACAACAAACAAGGAATGATGAGGTCCCATAGGCTTCCCTCAACATTGAGGCCCATTTGAAGAAACAAAATAGCAAAACTGCCAAACCTTTGGTCACAAGTAAATCTTCTTAGCGTGGGCAACAGTTTTAAGTGTTTTTTTTTCGGCTGTATTTTCTTTCAGAAGTACTTTATAGCTATACCATGAGGAGCATTTGACTGCAGTTTCTTTGAAATAGGAATTGTATGCACATGAGTATTTTTTCCAACTTGAACAAGCTTAGATTTTAATAAATAAATTAACTCTGTCTTCTGGCTTTGCCCACTGACACATCTCAGCATGATCTGTATTCCCAAAAAGTGATGCTGATGAATATTCAAATTCTTTATTTCATTTAGGTTTCCAAATATCTGCACCTGATATCTTAGAATCCATTCTTTATAGACAGCACTGCTGGAAGAAGGGTCTTGACCCGAAATGTCAACTTTCCTGCTCCTCTGATGCTGCCTGGCCTGCTGTGTTCCTCCAACTCCACACTGTGTTGTTACTGCTGGAAACCATATCATGCCTCCTGTGCCTCAGGTATCTTTCCCTGACATGCCAATGCTTATGTTTTCCCTCATAACCTAAGAACTAGATGTGGGTAATGCTGTTTTGAATGATCCAACAGAACGTTTATTCCAGTTCAGTGTTATATATAAATATTAGATTCACAAACACATATGTGCCTGTGCTAGAATTATACTATCCAGTTACAGACAACAGTGTGCTTTCATCCACATGTCTTTAAGAAATCTAACTTAAGATAGCATCTGAGACTTTTATACCATCAGGTCACATGTTCGAGCGATGATATCATGAGCATGTCTATTAAAGGTATACTGACATTTTATCATTTAGTGGTGCACTGATATATTGACTTTGAGACATAAATCAGAAGTACTGTCTCATTAGTTGTATGGCAATTTTTTGCATTTATGCCTGAGAAACAGAACCTCACATCCAGCCAACATTAAGTATTTACATTTGACTTTGATTGGAACTTAAGAAGCTCAACAGTGTAACTCAATGCTTTCTGAAGACATAACACATCACAAATCCATTCTGGGAATTTCAATTTCTTATTTTGTTGTTGCTCCGAGGTCTTTGTTTTATTGTCAATAATGACCACAGCACTAATTATAAACTGATTCAGTTGCTCATTATTTTTCACTCTTAATGAAGCAGGAAGAGAAGAATTTCATATTGATCTAGACTGGAATTGACTTCCACGGATCAAAGCAGAATGTGACAGCAGTTCCCTACAAAACTCTGTTTATCATCACCACCGTAAAAGACAATAATCTAAATGAATTCCATGTTTAAACATCATTTCATTAAAAACGATTATAAAATTTCCACCACTTTTTCTCACACGATAACAAATATCCTATACCTGACTATTAGTTACCTTATTGAGGCCTGTGAATGCCACACCTAAATTGCGTCCATTCTTATAAAAGGTCATAGTACCATCACACAGATTTAGGTCAACTCCTATGATTGTGGCTTTCTCGTAAAATGGTTCAGTATATTGCCTGCTGTGGCCATTATGCCAGGTTATACCTTTGTGGGATAAGCCCCAGCTTTCGGAATCCATCCCTGTGAGAAGGAAGTACGGTCAGGTTAGAAAACTGCTCAATCCCTCTCAAAAAGCTGTTTAATCTGATTGGATTTCCTTGATTCTTCACAATTCTGTTAAAGCACTGCTCCAAATTTAAATATTTATTAAGAAACGCATGCATGATCAAATGAAAAATAACATTCAGAGATTGTAATGACATGATATGCTGTGACATATTGCTAAGAAGGCTTATAAATTCCTTGGGTTTATAAATTGAGGCATAGAGTATGAAAGCAAGGAGGTGATTCTACACCTCTACAAATCATTGGGTGGACAACATTTGGAATATTTGTTCAGTTCTGGGCACCTTATTTAAGGAAGGATGTTAAAGCCCTGGAACCAGTTCAAAGGAGATTTACTAGAATGATACCAGGAATGAAGGATTTTAGATACGAGCAAGTATTAAGAAATTGGACTTATTCTCCTTGGAGCAGAGAAGATTAAGACATGATCTTATTGACGTGTTCAAAATTATGAACAATTTTGACAGGGTACAGAAGGATATTCCATTTCCATTAATTGGTATGTCAGTAACTATGGGTCACAATTTCAAGATTGTCAGCAAGAGAGCTAGGAGTGAGATGAGGAGAAACTTCTTGACTCAAGAGTTTTGTCAGGATTTAGAATGCACTGCCTGGGAGAGTAGTAGAGGCAGATTCAATAGGAGGTTTCAAAAGAGAGCTGGATATATATTTGAAAGTGATTAATTTAGAGGGTTACGGAGATAGGAGGGTTACTGGAGAATGAGGCCAACTGGGTAACTCTTTCAGGAGCTGATACAGACATGATAGTAAAATGGCCTCCTTCTCTACTGTACAATTCTACGATTCTATACTTATACAGAATGTATTTTGTAGGTTTGGCTGCACAGAAACTCCAAATTTGTATGAATTGACCAACACAAGGAGGTACCTAAAGAGACAACATGTCACTATTGACCTAGTTCCATACAGAACCATTTTGCCCAGAAATGTATTTATATCAGAAAATCCTAAATCAAAGAGAAACAGTTTAGCATGAAACTGATGTGAAAAATAAAGCATGTTGCAATTAGAAATGAGAAAGGTGACCAAGTGTCAGAAAGAGGAGTAACACATTAGTAAAGAAAAGGAAAGATGACAAACAAGCAATAAACCTGTCAAAAAGAACCAGTAACGCACATTATTTAAGTTGCATTTCGCATTTTAACATGGTGGTGATTCTGAGAGGGTTTTACTTGAGCATCTGCATCTTAACACCAGTGTCCGATGTAACTAAGATAGCTCCATGGACAATCCTCAGGGATTTTCCCATTTGCATCCAATCCAGCAGATTTGGGAGCCAGCCAATAACAGGTGGTGTGGAAAGAAGATCCGGCATGGCAACAGCATGCACAATATTTAAAAGACAGTCTGCAGCCTTCCTGCAGGCTTATTTGTTGGTATCCCACATTTAAAATATCTGTCTACAGATCACTCACTTCTATTTTACTGAATGTCCCTGGCCATATTCTGGAGTAGGCTCAGCAGTTTGATCTCTGAGCTGTTTGTCTATGAAAGTTCCTCAGGGTAGGTCCAATCATCTTCAGCTGTTTCTTCACTGACCTTCCCTCCATCATAACGTCAGAAATGGGAATGTTCACTGATAGTTGCTCAATGTTCAGGACTATTTGTGACTCCTTGGATATTGAAGTATTCCATGTTCAAATGCAACAAGATCTGGACAATATCCAGGCTTGGGCTAACAAGCGGCAAGTAACATTCACACCACACAAATGCAAGGTAATGACCATTTCCAATAAGAGAATATCTAACCATTGTCTCTTGACATTCAATGATGTTATCATCACTAAATCCCTCACTATCAACATCTTTAGGATTACCATTGAACAGAAACTCAACTGAACTCACCACATAAACATAGTGGCTCCAAGAACAGGTCAGAGATTAGGAATACTAAAGCAAATAATACATCTCCTGACTCCCCAAAGCCTGTCTGCTATCTACAAGGCACATGACAGGAGTGTGATGGAATATTCTCCACTTGCCTGGATGGGTGCAGCTCCAACAACACTCAAGAAGCATCAAGGACAAAGCAGCCCGCTTGATTGGCACTACATCCACAAGCATCCACACCCTCCACCACTGATGCTTAGTAGCAGCAGTGCGCACTACCTATAAAATGGACTGCAGAAATTCATCAAAGATCCTTAGTCATCACCTTTCAAACGCACAACCATCACTTGCATGTTCCCCTCCAAGCCACTCACTATCGTGACTTGGAAATGTATTGCCATTCCTTCACATTTGCCTGGTCAACATACTGGAATTCCCTCTCTCAGAGCATTGTGGGTCAACCCACAGCAGGTGGACTGCAGCAGTTCAAGAAAACAGCTCACCACCACCTTCTCAAGGCCATCTAGGGGTGGGCAATAATTGCTGGCCAGCCAGCGATGCCCATGTCCCTTGAGTGAACCTAAACAAAATAGAAACAGCTCATCCATGTTCACAATGCCACAAATGATCAGCTCTTGTAACTTTCTACTTGTGAATTTTATATCTCCGCTTAACTTACCGGATTCACGGGAGAAAACTTAGAAAACGTGAAGACACATGTCAAAGGTGAAGAGGACAAGGGAGGTAACTCAAAAACAATAACCATCGCAAGCGAAATTATGTCAGGAAAACTACTAAACATAAATCTGAGAAGTCTCATGGACCTGATGGCCAGCATCTTAAAGTCTTAAAAGAAGTAGCTGCAGTGATAGTAGATGCATTGGTTGTAATCCTTTGGAAAGGTCTCAGTGGCTGTAACAACTCTATTCAAGAAAGGAAGGTGTCCAAATCAGGTAACTATTGACCAGTTAGCCTGACATCTATCATCAGGAAATAGCTTGAATCCATTATTAAAATGGTAGCAGCAGGGCATTTAGAAAATCGTAATATGACTGTGCAGAATCAACATGCTTTTGTGAAAGGGCAAAAGCATATGATAAATTTATTGTATTTCCATGAGGATGTGATGAGTAGAGTAGATAAAGTGGAATCAGCAGATGGGATGTAGTTGGATTTCCAAAAGGCATTTGATAATGTGCTACATAAAAGGTTCTTGATAGAGTTAGGCGCTTATAGTGTTGGGAATGATATATTACCTTGGAAGAATGCCTAACAAGCAGGAAGCTTAGAGTCAGCATAAATGAGTCATTTTCATTTGGTAAACTGTAACTGGTGGAGTACTGCAGAAATCAGAGTTGGGCTCTCAACTATTTACAACATGTATCAATTACTTGGGCGAAGGGACCCAGTGTATTGTAGCCAGTGTGCAGATGATAAAACAGATATGCAGGAAAACAAGTTGTGAGGATGATACAAAGAATTTTGTAAAGGGATATAGATAGGTTAGTTGAGCAGGCAAAAATATGGCAGATGGGTTATAAAGTGATAAAATTTGAGGGTTTCCGCTTTGGCTGAAACAATAGCAAAGCAGAAGATCAGATCAGTGAGTCTGTAGAATACTACAGTACAGAGGGGTCTGGGTGTCCTGGCACATGGGTTACAAAATGTAAGCATACAGGTACAGCAAGTAATTAGGACAGCAAAGCAAATTGTCACCCTTTAATGTAAGGGGAAATAGAGTATAAAAGCAAGGAAGTCTTGCTAGAACTGTACAGGGTATTGAGGATACTACACCAAAGTACTATGTGCAGTTTTGGTCATCTTACTTAACGAGGGAAAGCCTTGCACTGGAAGCAGTTCAAAGAAGGTTTATGAGCTTTATTCCTAGTGTGAAAGGGATATCTTATGAGGAAAAGTTGAACAAGTAGGGCCTACACTCAATGGAGTTTGGAAGAATGAAGAATTGAAACAGATTAGATGCTGAAGAGCATTCCACAGCGTTGATGCTGGGAGCGTATTTCTTCTCACAGGGGAAGCTAGAATCAGGGGCACAAAATACGGGGTTTCCCATTTAGATGGGGATGATAAGGACTTTGTTCTCGCAGGGTGCTGTTAGTGTTTTGAAATCTCTTCCCTAAAGAGCAGTGGAGGCTAAGTTATTGAACATATTGAAGGCTAAGTTTTACCTATTAAAGATAAACAAGATAGTCAAGGCTTTTGCGGGGGCAGACAGAAAATTAGAGTTGAGGCCATAATCAGATCAGTCATGATCTTACTGAATGGTGAGTAGGCCTGATGGCTGAATGGCCTATTCAGTTCCTACTTCTTATAAGCATCCCAAAGGGGCCAAAAGGAATGTCTGTAGCATAAACTGAGGCAGAAAGACTACGTTCACATATATAAATGTGATCTGGACACATAAGGAGTCTAATGTACTGATAAATTTTTTACAGAATTCTTAAGGTTACTTACCGAGCATGTTTATAAATGTGTAATTACCGAGATGAAGATGTGCATTTCTTGTTCCAGCACCCACCATCACAGAGGTACCATATGGAGGTTCAAGAAACTTAACTTCCCAATAATGTTCTCCATGGATGAAGCCTGTACAAATAGCACAACAATGAATACAATGGTGCATTTCATAAAGATACTTACAACAGATTAATATGTTAAGCATCTGACTCCAAGCAGTGTGCAAATTTATATTACTGTAACAACAAAACTACATAAATGTTCCTTTGTGCCTGAACATTTTGGGATAAAATTAGTGGCATAAACAGTGAAGAAGGTTTTCTAAGATTACAAAGGAATCTTGATCAAATGAATCAATGGGCTAAAAAATGACAGATGGAGCTCAATCTGGATAAATGCGAGGTATTGCATTTTGGTTCAACAGACAAAGGTCAGGCTTATTATCATTAATAGTAGGGCCTTAGACAGTGTTGTAGAACAGAGGGACCTAGGAGTGCAGATACATAATTCTTTGAAGTTTACATCACATATAGGCAGGATGGTTAAAAAAACGCTTGGCATGCTTGCCTTCATTGCTCAGCTCTTTGAATACAGGAGTTGGGAAGTCATGTTGAGGTTGTACAGCACATTGGTGAGGTCTCTTTGCAATAATGTGTCCAGTTCTGGTCACCCAATTATAGGAAGGATATTATCAGTTGGAGAGGGTTCAAAAGAAATTTACCAGGATGTTGCCAGGAATGGACGGTTTGAGTTATAAAGAAAGACTGGATTGGCTGGGACTTTTTCACCGCAGCATAGGAGGTTCAGAGGCAACTTGATAGAAGTTTATAAAATAATGAGAAGCTGTAGATAGCGTTAATGGTAGTTGTCTTTCTCCTAGGATGGGGAATGTCAAGACTAGGAGGCACATTTTAAGGTGAGGGGAGAGAGATTTAAAAAAAGACATGACAGGCAAATTTTATACACAGAGGGTGGTTTGTGTGTGGAATGAACTTTCTGAGGAAGTGTTGGATGTGGGTACAATTCAAATGGTTAAAAGACATTTGAATCGTTACATGAATAGGAAAAGTTTAGAGGGATATAGGCCAGGAGCAGGCAGGTGGGGCTAGTTTAGTTTGGGATTATGTTTGGCATAGACTGGTTGGAGCGAAGGGTCTGTTTCCATGGTGTATAGCTCTATGATTCTATAACAATGCATTGTATTGATTTTTTCATTTTCCACCTCTTCACATTAGTAATTTCTAAACAAACACAGAAGTCAAGAAATCACTGCTGACAACATCGGTGAATAATCACAACGACTTCCATTCAATATTCTTGTATATGTTACTTTAATGTAAAGTAGCAAACTGTGGAGCTGTTGACCAAAATTTTCCAGGTCTCTCTTATCACAGAATTAGTCTGGGGGGACTGGAGGATTGCAAATGTTATGCAGTTGTTTCAGAAAGGGACAAAGGATAACCCAGAAAGTTATGGACCCGTCAGCTTGATATAATACAGGATAAGATAAATATAGACAGAGAGTAAAGTAAGTTCATATTAGATGGTCAACATGGCTTGGTTAAGGGCAGGTCATGACTGACAAATTTAATTGAATCTTTCGACACGGTGACACAGGTAGTGGAAATGGGTGGTGCTGTGGATGTTGTATATTTGGATTTTCAGCAAGCATTTGGTAGAGTGCCACACGACAGGTTGGTTAGCAAATTAGAAATGTTTGGAATTGATGGGTCCTGAGCAGCATGGATTAGAAGTTGGCTAAAAGATAAGAAACAGAGGGTAGGTATAGATGGGCATTTCTCAGATTGGAGACAAGTTGAAAGTGGTGGTCGTCAGGGGCCGGTGTTGGGATCCGTGCTTTCTCTGATTTATATAAACGATTTTGAGATGGATGTTGAGGGCAAAATCTATAAATCTGCAGATGATACTGAGCTAGGGAGAATAGTGAATTGTGAGCATGTAATTTACATGAACGATTTGGATGAGAATTTAGGTGGCACGGTTAGTAAGCTTGCGAATGACACCAGAACTGTGATATAGTCAACAGTGAAGAAGGTTATCTAAGAGTACAAAGGGATCTTGATCAACTGGGTCAATGGGCTGAGGAGTGGCAGGTGGAGTTTAATTGGGATAAATTTGAGGTATTGCACTTTGGCAAAACAAACAAGGGTGGGACTTATACAGTTAATGGGTCCTGGGTAGTGCTGTCAAACGGACAGACCTAGGGGTTTCGGTACACAGTTCTTTGACAGTTGCATTACAGGTAGACGGGGTGGTTAAGAAGGCATTTGGCATGCTTGCCTTCATTGCTCAGACCATTGAGTATAGGAGCTGGGATGTCATACTGAGGTTGTTGAGGACATTGGTGAGACCACTTTTGGAGTACAATGTATAGTACTGATCTCCCTGCCATAGGAAGGATATTATTAAATTGGGGAGGATTCAGAAAAGATTTACCAGGATGTTGCCAGGACTATAGGGTTTCAGTGATAAGGATAGGCTAGATAGTCTCGGACATCTTTTCACTGAAGCATAGCAGGTTGAGGGGTGACCTTATAGAGGTTTATTAAATCATGAGGGGCATAGTTAAGGTGAATAGCAAAGGTCTTTTCCCTAGGGTGGGTGAGTACAAAACTAGAGGTCATTTTTTTAAGGTGAGAAGAGAAAGATTTAAAAGGAGCCTGAGAGGCAACTTTTTCATACAGAGGATGGTTCGTGTGTGGAATGAATTGCCAGAGAAGTGGTATATGCAGGTAAAGTTAGAATATTTAAAAAACATTTGGACAGGTACACAAATAGGAAAGGTTTACAGGGGTATGAGCCAAACGCAGGCAAGTGGGACTAGTTTAGTTTAGGAAACTTGGTCGGCATGGATGAGTTGGACCAAAGGGTCTGTTTCCGTCCGTATGACTATGACTCAATGACTTCAGACAGGCAGTGACAAGTTGGCCAACTGGGCAGACAGCTGGCAGATGAGTTTCAAAGCAGCGAAATATGAAGAGATGTATTTAGACAGAAAAACACAGAGAAACAATATGGGTTCAATGGTATAACTACAGGAGCAGAGGGACCTCAGGGATCATGTGCACAATTCTCTGAAAGTGGTCAGTTGAATAGTTGAAACAATTGTTCAGAAGGCTTATAGGATCCTTGTTTTATAAATAGAGGTAAGAGTATTATAGTAAGGAAGTGATTCTACACCTCTACAAATCATTGGTTAGACCACATTTGGAGTATTGCATTCAGTTCTGGGCACCTTATTTAAGGAAGCATGTTAAAGCTCTGGAGAAAGTTCAAAGGAGATTTACTAGAATGGAGTTACTAGAATGGTACCAGGAATGAGGGATCTTAAATACAAGAAAAGATTAGAGAGACTGGGCTGCTTCTTTCGGAGCAAAGAAGGTTACGAGGTGCTCGACTGAGACGTTCAAAATTATGAACAGTTTGGACAGGGTAAAGAAGGATATTCTGTTTCCACTTGTTGTTATGTCAGTGACTAGGGGTCATAATTTCAAGATTGTCAGCAAAAGAGCTAGGAGTAAGATGAGGAGAAACCTCTTTGCCCAAAGACTTGTCATGATTTGGACAATGCTGCCTGGGAGAGTGGTGGAGGCGGATTGCACAGGAGATTTACAAAGGGAACTGGATATATATTTGAAAGTGATTAATTTAGAGGGCTACGGAGGTAAGGCTAGAGCATGGAACTATCAGGATAGATCTTTTGGGAGCAGGTACAGACACAATGGGTCAAATGGTCTCCTTCTGTACAATAAAATTCTATGATGCAATTAATACAGGAATTGAAGAGTTTGTTATAAAAGTTTTAATATAACTTCTGCAATAGCAAATTGAAGATTATTAAACAATTGTCAACTAATATTGTTGGAGTCACTTTTGGGACTCCATAAAGTCAAAATTATATTTTTGTACATTTTTTGTGAAATAACTGTAAAATGGGAAGTTGAAAAGGCAAAGAGAAGACAACATAAAACTACTGCCGAATTGGAGGGAACTGCAAATAAATGGTTTGAAAATAATCTGATGGTGTTCAGCTTGAGAACATATGTGCACAATGTTAACTGGCAGCAGCACTAATAACAGTGCTCAGTGAAGGGAATGTTTAGTGAGTTAACAATACAGCGAGAAAAATCAAACAGTATTGTGTTTGTTGCCCACATTATCTGTTAAACATTAACATTAAACAGATAATGTTAAAGACTTATTGCTCACTGTAATGTGGCTGAATAATAAAGCAAAATGCAATTGCTTTGCATCAATGCAATTTACTTCAGCATTGCTGCCAATTTAGTATTAAGTTGATGCAACTGTTGCTTTTCTTTACATTGGTCTAACATAGGATGATGAGGCATAAACATAAAGCACAGGACAATGTCAGTAAAACAACATGGCCATATATACCTACCATAGCAATGCAATGGATATCAGTATGCAATCATCAAGATGGCTACAGCTAAAACTATTCATACACCAGAAGACACATTAATGTCAAGCATTTAACTATAAATTTGAAATAAAAAGAAACCTCTCTTACTCTCTGATATCAACCACAAACCAGAACACAGCAAAGTCTATTATGATACCACCTTTTGTTCCTCTCACTCCAGCTGTACCTTCACTTTGCAAGACGGGATCAATGTGGAAGTAAACTGCTCTCCGACAAGGAGAAAGTTGTACTGCTGGTGATTTTGCATTAACATCCCACACCCAACATTCCACAACAAAATCATCGGAGAAGGACTCAGGGAGACAATGATACTCCATTGTCTGTCTAAAGACATAGCCTGAAACAGATTACAATAAGTATTATCAAAATCAATTTAACAGCAAATTATACCTTATCCGTATTTGAGCTACATTAGAATTGAATTAAAGAAAAAAAGCACAGAAGGTATTAAATGCAAGTTATATATTTGAATCTCCCCTTTTGCTGTTGTCCTGGGTAATTCCTCTTCTCCTTTAAAAGAAGCTACTGAAACTGCCAGACACTGATCTACCATTCTGCTGTCACTCTTAAACATAGAAATGTAGCAGATAGCAGCAGTAATAGGCCATTTGGCCCCTCAAGCTTGCTCCACCATTCAATATGATCATGGCTGATCACCCTAATCCTGTCCTCCCCATATTCCTGATCCCTTTACCCACGTGAGCTATATCTACCTCCTTTCTGAAAACAGATAATATTTTGACCTCAGCCACTTCCTGTGGTGGTGAATTCCACCGGCTCACCACTCTGTGAATGAAAAAATTTCAACTCATCTCAGTCCTAAAAGATTTACCCCTTATCTTTAAACTGTGACCCGTGGGTCTGGGCTCCCCCCACTATTGGGAACATCTTTCCTGTTTCTAACCTGTCTTGTCCTGTTACAATTTTATAGTGTTCTATGAGATTCCCCCCCTCATTCTTCTAAACTCTAGTGAATAACTGGAGTTAGTCTGACTTAGTTGTTCCTCATACATTAGTCCTGCCATCCCAGGAATCAATTTGCTATACTTTCTGTGCGCTCCCTCTATAGCAAGAACACCCTTCCTCAGATAAGGAAACCATAACTGTGCACAATATTCTAGGTATGAACTCACCAATCCCTGTATATTAGCAGTAAGATATCCTTGCTCCTGGGCTTAAATCCTTTCACTATGAACACCAACATGTATTTGTTTTCTTTACTGCCTGCCACACCTGTACGCTTACTGGTGCACACTTCATAAAAGGGGTTTCAGATTTGTGTCACTGTGACATGAACAGTATCGTGACCAGAGCTGATTCCCATACACACTGAAGGTAAGACCTATGACACCATTTCCCATTGGTAGTCTTAGATTGATTGGACTTCTCTCCTCCAACAACTATTTTAATGTTATGAGAAAAGAGTCACTCGCATTCAATTACTTGTCCCTTAAACAAAGTCTCCTACAACCATTAGAACAGTCACACACAGCACTCCCCCTGCTGCTGGTAGGTGGAATTTTAACTCAAATCACAGTTGACAGATATACCTGTAACATAACTCTGGTATAAAATACTTGAATAATGTCTATAACTTTCCAGATACCCTAGTGGACCTTCACTTGGCCAGTGTGTGCAGGATGAGAGGATGGAATGTCAGTGAGGGAGGGGGGGATTGAAGGAAGGGTTTAGTTGAACCAGAACACATGGACGGAACTCAGTTCCAATTGTAAAGTTTTGCAGGTTTGCTCCACTTCTGCTATCCCTGAAATTAACTGTATAGTGAGAGGAATAAGTGACATTTGGCCAGAACTCCCTATTTATTGGGAATGCAGACAGAAAGGTAACTATCTGAATTTGCAGTTGTCAACAAATTAAGGCTATTATTTCAAAAAAGACACAAAGCGACCCACAACAAGAAGTTTCTGACTTTCCATTCAACACCTTTCTACAGCTACCAACCTGCTCGATTCCACCATCGTTTTATAGCCTTTTCCCCATTACAACCTAGGCTCCCTCTTACCAGAATGATTCCTGAGATGGTAGGCTTGTCTTTTGAGGACAGACTGGGTCTGTATATCCTGGAGTTTTGAAGAATGAGAGGGGATCTCATCGAAACTTATAACAATCTGACAGACTTGTATAGACTGTACGCAGGGTCAATGTTTCATCTGGCTGAGCAATCTAGGAAGAATGGTCATGGTCTCAGGATAGTGGGCAGGCCATTTCAAACTTCTTCACTCAAACAGAGAGTGGTAATCCTGTAGCATTCTCTACTACAGAAGGCTGTGGAGAGCATCATTAAATGTTCAAGAAAGAAATAACTAGTGCCATTTCCCTCTAATATTCTTCTCACAAGAGTTCTGTTTATGCCATGAATGCACCTTCAGTTACATCACTGACTGACTTCCATTAACCTCTTGCTCTGCAATAATCACATCAATCTTCTCCAATGTCTCTCCACTTGTGTTTCTACTTTAATTGTGTCAGCAACACAGACTAATATCCACATTCCAGCAACATTTATGTAGGTCGCATGAACACAACCAGGCATGATTTGCTGAGCTTATTCTTATAATGAAAACTTACAAATGGAAATAATCTAGAGTTGAGTCTTAAAGATTTCAAGTCACGGGACTGTATATGCAGTGTGGAGCTGGAGGAACAGAGCAGACCAGGCAGCATCGGAGGAGCAGAAAAGTTGACATTTCGGTTCCGGACCTGAAACATCAACTTTCCTGCTCCTCTGATGCTGCCTGGCCTGCTATGTTCCTCCAGCTCTACACTGCGTTAACTCTGACTCCAGCATCTGCAGTTCTTGCTATCTCTATGCGGCTGTACATATTTCCTTTTGTCAGCTTGTTCCATTGTGGGATTGTCCTTGGGAAGAAAGCCTGTTAATACTGTGATCAACAAAGCTGGAAGAGTTCACTGTCATTCTATTCCCACTACCTCATTAGTTACAACCTAAAAGTATTTATTCTTTAGTATTTATCAAGGCACATGATCTATATAAAACTAAAGTACCGTGCTGCTGGAGAACTGAAATAGAAACAGGAAGTGCTGGAGAAACTTAGCAAGTCGGGTAGCATATGTGGAGAGAGAAACAAAGCAAATGTTTGCGGTCCAATAGGATTCTTCTTCATATACATGAAATGTTAACACTGTTACTTTCCTCATATGCTGCGAAACCTGCTAAGTTTCTCCAGCACTGTCTGTTTTTATTATCTCATGTTTGTCAAATTTTAAATAAAAAATCTATCAACCAGATACTTAATAAACAGAATTATCAATTTATGATCAAAACAAAGCTTATTCAATAAACATGCAATAATTGGTTAACATACATAAAATCAGCAATACAGAAGTATAAATACTTAATCCTCTAAATATTCCAGACACACATGCAAAAATGCACACACAAACTTCAGGAAAAGAGAGAAAAAAATTCTCTACAGAGATTGTCTTTCAGGAAAAAAGCAGTTTGGCCAAGAGGTTATTCTTGAAGGCAGAAAGGTAAAGCATAGGATGTTCCAGAGTCTGGTACCTTGCTGTTCTGGCACATGAAGTCATGTTGTTAACCATGTATGATAATATCTGAAGTCTTGCAGACACAACTTGCTCAGGAAATACAATTTTAAATTGTTCTTTCAATCACTTCTTCAAAAATGCAAATAGATTTCACCTGCAACAGATGTAAAATTATTTCTGGAAATTTTTCTCATTTTGGAAATGGGAGGGATCAGCTGGGCAGATCATTCATAGCAAACTTTCCTCTAACTCACCTTGCCTTCACAAGCTTTCCTTCAACTGAACCAGATAGAACAAAAATCTCATCAAACCAGTCACCATTTAAAACAGTCTGAGCAAGGTCTATAGCAAAATAAGCAGCTATCATCAGTCATGTGATTTCTTGAAAGTCTTAGATCATAGAATAGATCATAGAATCCCTACAGTGTGGAAACAGGCCCTTCAGCCCAACAAGTCCACACCAACCCTAGCAGCACCTACCCAAACCCATCCCTCTATAACCCATCTAATCTACACATCCCTGGACACTATGGGCAATTTAGCATGGCCAATCCACCTAGCCTGCACATCTTTGGACTGTGGGAGGAAACCGGAGCACCTGGAGGAAACCCACGCAGACACAGGCAGAATGTGCAAACTCCACACAGACAGTCGCCCGAGGATGGAATTGAACCCGGGTTGTGAAAGAAAATCTGATATGTCCACAGTGAACTTTCACTGACCTCTTTTAGAGAAACTATTCCACATAGGTCTACAAAGCTTGAAATAAATTTCTCTTTCAACCATCCTTCAAAACCGAAGTCATCCAGCAAATGTAAGCATCAATGTAAAAATACAATGTCATTGAGTCACAGAGTATTACAGGACTGAAAGAGGCCTTTAGCACATCGTGTCCACGCCAGTCAAGCGCCTAGATATGCTGTCTCGAAAACAAATGGTCTTTCTAATTTGTGTGGATGGCAACCTAACGTTGTCACCATCAGAGGGCACCAGGTACATGTATCTGCCCATTTCCACCAATTCATTCTATATTTGATAGAACATGGTCAGTCTATTTTTTTACCCTCCCTTGCTGTAACAATTCCTGTATTTTCTGATAGATGTGACTCTGATTATTTCCCTTCCTGATTTCATGCAGTATTAAGCAGTACATATTCGGTAACTTCAATCTTACTTATATCTCTCTCCATACATAACTTGCACACTCTAGGATTGAATGAAGAAACAAAAATTTGATATGCTATAATTCTAATATTTTTGGCACAATATCAAAGGGCATTCCTGCAAAGATCCAAGAACTTTGGGTATTAACTGCTGAATGTGGAATGCCCAATAAAGATTGTTTTTAAGGTAGTTCACCTGTGGGAGATCTTGACTATAGAACATAAAGCTATCTGCTAGTGGATCCTTTACATGGTAATGCATGTGATATAGCTTTATTGAATGCTGTCTCCCATTGGTCTTGCTATTTCGTCTTGTGGTGTATTGTCAAAGGGTTTGACAAAGCTCATATTGCCACATGAGGCATCACATATATTTACAGATCTCACGGTAAGTCATAAAGACTATAAAAAACGGAAAACCATGCTGATTACTGGAGATTGTGAGCCTCAAAGTGCTACATAACATGAGAATAAACTATATGTTTAAGGAATTGCTAATGGCATTTGGTGACAGGTAGGGGGTTGTAATTTTCTGGCTGACCTTTATCTTTTTTTGAATATGTCATAGATGTTATTGTCTCCATTGATGATAAGTAGCTGAAGGTTGATTGACTATTGAAAAAGGATGATCAATATCAGAACCAGTTCATTAGCTGGTCACTGTAAAATCCAGGAAGGTATTTCATCCTGACCTGCAACTTTACCGGGATTTATTTCTTGTAATATTGTCATCCAGCTGGGTGGGATTGCACTTCTGATTTTATTCTTATCTATCTTATCATGGCCAAAGAATCATCTACAATTTTTCTCTTCCTCAATTTCAATCTCTATGTCCCTCTGAGTATCTATCCTGGGCTGCATTTGATTTCTTCTCTGCACACTGCTCCACTATGGCATCATCTGAAACACAAAGTGTACCCTGATGACACACAGCTCTATCTCAACAAATCACATCTCTTAACCTCATTTCTGAAGAAGGGTCCTGACCGACATGTCGGCTTTCCTGTTCCTCTGATGTTCCCTGGCCTGCTGTGTTCCTCCAACTCCACACTTTGTTATCTTAAGCCCTTCATTGCCTTTACTTTGTCGAGCCGCATGCCCAACACTTACCAATGGGGGGAACGGAAATTTCCACTAATCAGATATTGGGAAAGCACAGCCATTTCTGGTGAAAGCTCTGTTCTTTACTTCATCCACTCTATCTGGCTCCATGAGTACCATCTGACACGAAACCAGATCGCTTTCACACTAGAAACAGCCTCTGCCATAAATGCAAAAAGGCACTGTATCAGACAGTGGACTCAATGTAGGAAGAGGTTTCCCGAATTTGTTGTGCTCCAGCGAGGTGGGTCGTACAAAGCTCCAAGTGATGATTTACATCTGAATGCTGCAACTAGGGTGGGAAGTTCAGCACATTCCACTCCTCCTGTACAGAGGGCTATATATTCAAACTGTTCCTGGAGATCCACACTGTTACGAATATACACAGTGATGCCCATGGCAGCACAAGATAGTGGTTTAATCATCACTCTTTATGTTGTATCCATGGGAGAAAGGTCCATAATGAGAGTGAGAGAACCCAAACTGGACTTGATCCTCAAGGCTACAGGCGATCAGCTACACGGAGGAGTCCGTCACACAGGTAGCAAAGATGCCTGTGTGTCTGGTTGTCAGGGATGGGGAATTACACATAGCAGGGGCCAAAGGTGGTGGTCAAGGCACTTTAGAATGGAGTATTAATGGTGGAGGTGATCTTGTTGTTTCACTAAGCAGAAAAGGACACTAAGCAGAAAAGATCAGTATGATTATGGTTAAAGACAATGCTGTGTATCTGTATCAGGAGTTAAAGAGAGACAGTCATAAAACATAACATTCTCATAAACCTGGTCTAATTTTAAACACTCCATCAGTCATGTCTGTGTTTTCAGCTGCCAAGGCCTCAAACTCTGAAATTCTCTCTCTTAAATTTCTCCAACTGCCCTTCCCTTTTTCCCCTCTTTTAAGCTGTTATTTTGTCAAAGCGTTTTGTCAGTTGACCTGTTGTCCACAAACTTTCATATTTATTTCATAAAATGCGACCAAGAAGCACACAGGCAAATTGTACCGTTAGGAACACAATAAGTGAAAGAAGTTACAAAAACAGAAGTTGCTGGAAAAGCTCAGCAGGTCTGGCAGCATCAGCGAAGAAACAATCAGAACAGTTCTGAGGAAGGGTTACAGGACCCGAAACGTTAACTCTAATTTTTTTTCTTCACAGATGCTGCCAGATCTGCTGAGCTTTTCCAGCAACTTCTGTTTTTGTTCCTGATTTACAGCATCCACAGTTCTATCGGTTTTTATTAAGTGAAAGAAGCTGTTGTTGCCACACTTATACAGTGCCGTTATCACAGGGAAATGCCTGATATTGGCTCCAAATATTTAAAAAGACATGAATTATGAGTAAAAATGGTGTGGCCACACCCAAAAGGCTACGTATAAATCTGGTGACTGCAATATAATAAGGATACTGGAGCACAGCAGAAAAAGCGGCTAAACTGATACCTGAAGTACTTTATCTGTGCTGTGAGGAGGGTATATACCATGCCTGTAATACATACAATCTCAGTGTGTCTGAGAGTTTTACACACCGTTTAGTACAGTCACTGTGATATAGCAATCAGTTCCTTGGAATTCTGGATAAGCTTGCTGAAGCTGTGCAGTTAGAATGGGGAGAAATGGGAAATTGTTTAGATCATTTAGAGAACACAGTGAGCTCCTAGTTTCTGGCATTCACTGGGATTGTTGTCCCACACTTCCCTAACTTCATGGAATATAGTCAGTACCCTTATCGAGTCAAGTTCCAGTTCCCCAACCACATCAGTGCCAAAGCAAAGCTCATTATTCCCTGGGGAATGGGTCTGATCCGCACTTACCCCTTCTCTCTCTCTCCAGCCCTGTTTATCACAAAAGTGGAACTGAAGTTGTAAACACGCGGCCGGGAGCAACTCCCACAGACAGTTCCCACTGTCATTGGCTGAGAAACGAAGCTAAAACCCGCCCTTTAAATCAATATTTATCCGGAACACATTTCCTGTGACGGTGTGAAACATTTCGCAGTCAGTGGGCAGTCATTGCATATTGTGTGCCTGTCTGGAATCAAACCCTTTTCCATTCAGGGGTATTGGAAATAACATTCCCAACCGAGAGGAGAACGCCCTCCTATCTCACTCAGCTCTTTGGTTCGGTATGTTAAGGGCGGGTTGTTTTTGATTTGAATTACTCGAGTATTTCTCGCTGGCAGCGGGTGATTTGTGCTAACGTTACTGTGCTGCTTCTGAAAGTTGAGGTCAGACTTTCAGCTGTAGGTCTGTCCAGAGTTTAACTCTGTACTTCCTGAAACCTCATCTGGATAGGCTGGGACTTTTTTTCACTGGAGTGTAGGAGGTTGAGACGTGACCTTATGGAGATCTATAAAATCATGAGGGGTATAGATGTGGTGAATGGTAGATGTCTTTTCTCCAGGATGGGGGATTTCAAGGCTAGGGAGCATTTTTTAAGGTGAGAGGAGAGAGATTTTAAAAAGGCATGAGGGGCAATCTTTTTTTACACAGGTTGGTTTACATGTGGTACGACTTCCTGAGTAAGTGGTGGATTTGGGCACAGGGGTGGCATGGTGGCTCAGTGGTTAGCACTGCTGCCTCACAGCACCAGGAACCCGGGTTCGATTCTACCCTCAGGCAACTGTCTGTGTGGAGTTTGCACATTCTCCCTGTGTCTGCGTGGGTTTCCTCCGCGTGCTGCGGTTTCCTCCCACAGTCCAAAGATGTGCAGGCCAGGTGGATTGGCCATGCTAAATTGCCCATAGTGTTCAGGGATGTGTATTTAGGTGGGTTTTAGGGGGATGGGTCTGGGTGGGATGCTCTGAGGTTTGGTATGGACACTGTAGGGATTCTATGATTCTAACAGTTACAATGTTTGAAAGATACTTAGATAAGTATATTTAGATAAAGGTTTGGAGGGATATGGACCAGGAGCAGGCAGGTGGGACTAGTTTGGGATTATGGTTGGACTAAAGAGTGTATTTCTGGACTGTATGAGTCTAATACTCTATAATCTCTGAATTTTGTACATGGGAAATTTTAAAACTTTGCAAAATGTGTTCCTCCTTTGTAGGGTTCAGTTGCAATTGAGATAGCTAAGTGAGATTAAATCTACACTGTCTGCTTTATGAAACAATGAGGTCTTTGGACCAAGGTTTATCAATTCAAGTTGGCTTAGATTGAACATAAGATCCAAGGCTGACATGTATAAGTCTTGTACAAAAACAGGAATTGCTAGTGAAACTCGGCAGGTTTGGCAGCAACTGTGGAAAGAAAGCAGAGTCAACGTTTCAAGTCCAGTGACTCTTCATCAGAACTTAGTGTTGCACCAAGTTGACATCCTTCAGTTGTGAGGTTAAGCCCAAGGACCCATTTGCCGTCTCAAACAGACATAAACGATTACATGGAACTCAGGAGATGTCTTGATTTGGCAGGGCTTATATGGTATGGACCGTGACTAGGCTAGGCCATGCTGTATGTGGCTAGCCTGGGTCAAGGAGAGCTGACCTGCAGTGAGCACGGCAGGGTTGGTTCAGGCTGAGCTGATCAGAGCCAGGCTGCACTATAACAGGGTTTGGCCAGATGGAGGTTATCTGGGCAGGGCTATGTTGGACCATGCTGGACTGGACTGCACCACATGGGTTTTGGGCCATGTGGGCATTGGCCATGCAGGGTTTGATGGGCTGAGTTGGACTGGGCCAGGAGGAGCAGGGGTGGGCATGAGGCAGGAATGGGCAAGGTTGGGCCACATGGGGCTGGATTGGTAACAGCTGGGCTGCACAAAGGTGGGCATGCAGAGCTGGGATGGGTTGAGTCGAGTTGGACTGTTATCTCTAACATTGCAGAGAAATGTCTGCTTAGAAGATGAGGATAATTTACTTTGATTTTTTTTGGATTTCAGAAGAAAATTGAATGTTTCAGATTTAAAGAAAAATCAAAAAGTGTCCAAGGGCAATTGAGGACCAAGATCAGCTATGATCAGATGGTGCAGCAGGTGGATGGGCCAAATTACCTGCTCCTCCACATGTAACTTGTCTTCCTTTAGATCTCTCTTGCAAGAACCGTTTGTGACTTTCTGGTCAATGACAGCAGCAGAGTGGCCAAATCTCGGGAAGAGATTAAAGGGTGCTTACCAGATGTTGGGGTCCAGATTGCTGCTGAAGCTGTAAGAGCTGTGATGGGGGTGGCGGCTATGAGACCTGAGTTTGGAGAGGGGCTGGAGTTACCAAGATGTTAAGTCCAGAAACATCAAGAGGATAGAAATATGCATACGCACTGTTACTACCTAGCATGAGAGTCAAAGATCTTCAAATCCCATCAAGACGAAGATCAAAGACAATCTCTGAAGTTCAAAAATATAGGAGAAAGTTCTGGAAACAGACAACCTGGGACATGCGACAAACCACCCCAAATGCAGAAAGAAAAACAGAAATTGCTGGAGAAACTCAGCGGGTCTGGCAGCATCTATGGAGAGAAAGTGGAGTCAATGTTTCAAGTCCAGTGACTCAGGCATTGTGAAGAAGGGTCACTGGACTCAAAATATCGACGACTTTCTCTCCGCAGATGCTACTAGACCTGCTGAGTTTCTCCAGCAATTTCTGCTTTTGTTTCAGATTTCCAGGATTTGCAGCTGTTTGTTTTATTTCATCCCAAATATAGGATGGTGGTGCAAAATCAAGGACTGCTTAATTAATAACCTCATAGTGACTGCATTCCCAGATAGCAATGATTGTGGTTTGATTTAATTTTACATTTAGTTTCAGGGCAAGATGAATGGATCCAAGACCAATATTTAAACTTAAATAAGTTTAATTAATAATAACCCTACCATTGATATCATGTCTTTATTATTTTTCTCAGGATAAGGAGATAATTTCTTTTACTCTAGAAAACCATGTGAATGGCTCTTACTGCTAAAGTAGAAATTAGTTCATTGTATTTTAGTTGGGAGAGAAATATCCTGATTAAAAAAAATACTTACATCCTTGTTGTGATCAACCAAGAAAGTCGGATAGATGGAAGCTGGTCTTTCTCACCTGACTGTAACAGTGACCATTATCTAGCAATTGCATGATATGAATTGTCACTTATCAGACCGAGCCTGGGTGCTGTTCATGTTTTTCTTCATGTGGACAAGGACTGCTTTAGTCCCTGAAGAATTATGATTTGAGTTACACGTTTTAGAATCATCAACAAACAGTCCCATTTCTGACCTTATGATATCAGAATATCAGCAAAAAATGTTTGAATCCTTTACTGTGGTGCCCTTGGACTGAAATGATAGACCTTCAACAGCTATGCTCCATTATCCCAGATAGAACTGAATATATTCCCCTCAAGTAACTTCTGCTGGGCTCCTGCTGCCTTAACCAGTCCAGTGTTACACTGCCTAGTAGTTCTTATCCAAAGCCAGAAAGGCTTTGGTCAATATTCCTATGTAGCCATTCAAGAGCAATCTTCAGTGACCATTAGTTCATTTTTCTTGTCAGTTTTAGTCACTAATATTTTCATTTGCCTTTCTCTTTTGAGAAAATCAGTTCCTTGCTCAGAAAACAAAATTATGCCGTGATGAAAAATTCCTAATTTCCAGTAAATCGTAATCAAGTTGCTTTTTCCTTATTAAAATTTCAAAATTTATGTTAATAAATAACAAAGTGATTCAGGATCATTGTTTACTAACCAGATATTTAATTGGTATTTAATGCTGATTTGTAACTATATTACAAACAAAAAATTACTCTTCCATATTATAAGAACCAAGCAAATGATTTTAAATATATCAGTTACTAGTAAAGTTAATGTGTTACTTCAATTTGTACACTGACAATTTGGTATATGATTTTCTTTTCAACAATTCATGCCCATTATTTGTGCAGCTAATGTCCTTATTGATGCAATATCCATCATATTCTACTTTGTTATTGTATAACAATGAGAAAATCACTTCAGCACAGCTTTTAATGATTCACGAATGCTGGAATACAGACTTCATGTCCACATGTCTAACAGTAAATACAGGCAAATTCCATTACTGCTGTCATAATGTTTTAACAACATGCAGTTGCTCAAATTAGCAGTGTTGCTCAAAAGGTCACAAAGACAGAGAGAACAGCAGTTCGCGAGATATATAAAAAAATTGACGGGTAGTTTTGACCAATCCTGGTTGGGGTGTCTTTTCTCTAAACAAGAGATAGAGCAGTTGTGGCATCCCATGTGAAGAATTTTGTAATCCTTGCTGCAGGAAAATGAATAATCATTATGAACATAATTATCAAAATATTTCAGTAACATATGTATCCACTGAATCCGTGTAACTTTTCCAAAGCAGAATAAAGCAATTAAATGCTCAATGTGTTCATAAACAGAATAAAGCAATAAAATGCTATATGTGTTCATAAACTTCTCCAAATAATCAGTCATCACCAATTGGCTTTGCCGTGAAGTTCCAAATGTCACCTGAGCCAAATACAAACCTATGCACTCCCAAGTAAGAAATTTCGGAAACCATATGTCAATGTAACCAGTGATCCTTCACTTTCATCCGGTGCATTCACTTCCACAATTCTAGTGCCAAAAAGGAATGCCATATCTAGAAGTGGTCAGAAATTCAAGCATGATCCCAACCCAACATACTTGTATTTCAGTCCAGATCAGACTTTGTCCTTCCAGGAACATCTGAAGAAGACAGCAGCACATTTCAAAGCCAGAAATAACTTATTAATCAAATGCTGATGGGCATTGTTGCCATAAAACTCTGGACCTGAGCAGTTGCCCTAGCACATGCTGCAGCAGATGTCTGCCAAAATTCATCATGCACAAACTTGTTGACACTCAATTTTCCATCCTTCGATATTCCTTGATGATAGGTGCCTCCATGTACATGCAAATAACATCTGTCAGAAAGGGTGTTTTATTTTGATTTTGTCCATTTGAATTCATCACTCTGCAACAGGGAAAATGGAACTAACAAAATACTACAACAGAACTGCAATGTCAGATGTAGATCATTGTCTTAATAGATCCTAGGATGGTTTGAAAGATTCAAACAGATTTTTGTTACAAAGCGGTCTCATATTCAATTATTTTTTGATTTCTCGATTTTAAACCAACCTTTTGATGGGAATTACTCGCATCTCCTTCCACATGGCAGAGCCTTGTATTTGTGCTGTTGTTAGTACCTGTCTCAATGTCAACTGTGTTACATTCTGTTAATATTTCACCATTTGTCTCAGGAATGTATTCAGATTCTTGTGGGCTCTGGTTTGTCTCTACTGTTTGTTGCAGGGCATATAAAACAGCATCATGGATGCTGCTGAAAGCAAAGCTTTGACTTGTTGATTTGAAGTAACCATGTTCTTGTAGACTCTTCAGAACTATGCTTGAACAGTCGGCAAGGATAAAGCCAACTCCCATACTTTGGTATTGCTCAGACAGGTGAATCAAAGCACCCACTCCTTCATCATCCACAAAACTAACTGACCCACAATCCAAAATAATAGTATGAACATCTGCAGTTTGTTTTGATATTTGACGTCTATACAATGCAGTATGATTTATTCGCCTCAAAGCATGTTCATCCAATTCAGGGAACTGTGTAGATTCCAGTAACATATGATATTTATCTTCTTCACTATATAATTCATTATCACTTCCCAAATTACCTGACTGAAGATAAGAATTCACTTTAAGTTTTATCCAAGACAATAAAAAATCAACATTCCCGTAATAAATAGAATCAAATGTTTTTATAATTTTTATTCCAACAACCTCTTTGGCAGTTTTCTCAATGGATAGTTCAACATAGCTTTCTGTGTTGGGAATATGTCCTAAAATGGCATTGGATGGTCTCTGAAGTCTATGTAGAGTGAGCAAAATTGAGAAAAATATGCCAACTCCTAAACCAATGTCTATATCTAGGATACAAACTGCTGCAAATGTTATAATTCCAGCCAAAACTTCATATTTATTCTTTTTGCATGCAAAACAATACTTCCAGAAGAACTCGAGGTAACAGCCCAGATTCGAAATCATGATAGCACCAAGAACTGCTTTGGGCACCAGTGGAAGCAGATTTTCTGCACAAAGCAGGGCCGTAAGACAAAGGCTTGCTGCAATCAATCCAGCTGCTTGGGTTTGACCCCAAGTTTTTTCTTGAACCACTGTTTGTTCCCAAACACCAGAAGCTGCAAAAGTCCCCAGAAATGACAGTAGCAGGTCACAAGACCCCAAAACTATTGTCTCTTGGTGTGGGTGATAAGTTTCATTGTGTTTTTTGGAGTTTTCTCTCCCTAGAGAAACGCTCACTGCAAAGGTCACCAGTGCAACAGCAACAGCATCTTTAGCAACAGTGGGTATTAAGGAGAAAGAAGGAAGAACAGGTTTTGGTAAGGTAAATGGATAATCATTTATCAACCTGACATTGTGGCTATTCTCTAGTTCCAACCAGAATGACAACCAAATTGAAGCAATTATTGCAATAAATTCTATAGGTATGAGATGTCTGCTATAAATAGAGTTAATGACTTTAAAAGGCATCAGAAGTGCCAAAGTGGCTAAACCAGTGATCACTGAGGCAGTGTGTGTTTCATTAATATTTTCAATTATAATCTTGCATTTGTAAACAAGTGATAAAGAGCCATGATGAATTGGTGGATCAATACCAAGTACCAAAGTCAGGAGGATGGTGAATAAATGCAAAGCTGTTCCAGCTCTGAAACCATTCATAACAGGCTTGGAGATGTATATCCTTGTGAAACTGAGGCGAAAAACTCCCATAGAAATTAAAACAATCCCTGAAACAAAGGTGAGTGTAGTCACATGTAGTTCCCTGGAACATGTTGGAATACAGCCACTATCAGAATCCACTTCATGAGTTTCGTTATGATTTATGCCCTTTGCAATGAGCAAACTGGTGAATGCAGATGCTCCATAGGACAGGTGTTTTGTTGTGCCAAGCAAGCAATATAAGACGGTGCTAACCAAACTTGTGTAGAGACCATGAATAGGTGGTTGTCCACCGCAGACTGCAAAAGCAAGGGACAGAGGGATCGTCAGTAGACCTACACTAATTCCAGACAGCAAGTCTCCTATGAACCATGCTCTTACTCTGTACCTGGAAAACCATCTGGAAAAAGGAATAACTCGGTAGAATAATTTCTTCAAATTGTATGAAACTGGTAAGGTTAGTTCAGATGCCTTTCTTTCATATTCACATACCTTTTCTTCATTATACTTATCGATGCGGTGAAAATAAGGAATGTCATTGGTAAATGAGACCCTATGTAATGTTCTTGGGTTATAAATGGAAGTCCTGTCAGTTCTAACCAGAGGGATATTTGAACCCGATGGATCAGGAATTGTGTCACTGGACCAAAATGATTCTGAACTTCCCAGTGTGTTCTTCAGCTTAGTGCTCTTCCGGTCCTTTCTTAACATTGTCTTCAATGTTGTGTTGAATAAATCTTTTGCATCTATGCTTTCATATGTCAAATATCTAATAAGAAGATAAAAGTACAAGTAAGCATACTTGGTTTTGTTTTCTGAATTTTATTAAGTTTTCACTTTGTCAAAACACCAACATATGGCTCCTGACCCATGGAATTCCACCCCACCCCTCCACCCCTCCACCACCCCCCCACTCCACACACACACACACACACACACACACACAAACACACACAAACAGAGAGACCCAGATAACATTCTGGGGACCCAAGTTCGAATCCTGCCACAGCAGATGGTGGAATTGGAATTCAATAAAATATCTGGAATTAAGAATCTAATGATGACTGTGAATCCATTGTCAGAAAAACCCATCTGGTTCACTAATGTCCTTTCGGGAAGGAAACTGCCATCCTTACCTGGTCTGGCCTACATGTGATTCCAGACCCACAGCAATGTGTTTGACTCTGGGTAATTAGGGATGGGCAATAAATGCTGCTTAGCCAGTGATACCCTCATCCCGTTAATGAGTTTTAAAAACCCTCCAATATCAGATTTCCCAAATTCTTTCTCTTAGGAAGCATTAAAATCTCTTCTCCAATGCTCCGATTCCTTACCACCAGCATTCCCATTCTCTCTTATCATTCCCATTAATTCCAGATGCAATAATTGCAAACTTGCCTAAGAGGGTAGTTGAGGCAGGAAATCTCATAACCTTTAAAAAGTACTTGCCTGAGCACTTGAAATGTCATAACACACAAGGCTATGAGCCAAGTGCTGGGAAATGGGACTAGTGTAGATTTAAAGTAATTTTGTTGATGCAAACTCAATGGTTCAAAGGGCCTCCTTTGCACTGTATGATTCTATGATTAACGATCACTCTTCATGATATTCCTGCAACTCAAAAACCTCCACTTCTCCCACTCTACCTCACTTTGTGTACAAACAAAACTCTACAAAAGCATAAAGGAAGAGCCAAGATGTTAATTTCTTTCAGAAATCTCCAGTGTTTACTTAACACAAATTAGACTTTTTGACAGTAAAAGATCAAAATTGAAGATTTTATAAGACAGCACGTCTTTTGACTTACCACAGGATATTTGCTAGTTTTGTGTCTGGCATGTGTCCACTGTGAACCAAATGTCAAACTCCAAATGCCACTTTCATATTAACTTGGTTACAGATATAAATCAACCTTTAAAAAGAGACAGAAAGCAAAACATTGATATAGAAATTGAAATTTGCAAGGAATTGTGTCCATTCCAAGCACAATCCGGACAATATCCAGGCATGTGCTGATAATTAGCAAGTAACATTCATGCCACACAAGTGTCAGGAGATGATCATCTCCATCAAGAGAGAATCTAGTTACCTCTGTATGACATTGCCATAATTGAAATCCCCAGCATCAATGTTTTAGTGTTATCATTGATCAGAAATTCAACTGAATGAACTATTTAAACACGGATCTTACAAAAGCAGGTCGAGCTAGGAATCCTGCAGGAATTAACTCACTTCTTGTCTCCCCAAAGTCTGTCCACAATATACAAGGCATGAGTCAGGAATGTGATGGAATACGTTCCGGCATGGTGGCTCAGTGGTTAGCACTGCTGCCTCACAATGCCAAGGACCTGGGTTCAACTGTCTGTGTGGAGTTTGTACATTGTCCCTGTGTCTGCGTGTGTTTCCTCTGGGTGCTCCGGTTTACTCCCACAGTCCAAAGACGTGCAGGTTAGGTGGATTGGCCATGCTAAATTGCCCATAGTGTCCAGGGATGGGCAGGCTAGATGTATTAGCATGGGAAATGCTGGGTTAAAGGGATAGGGTGGAGGGGGTTTGCGGGTAGGTCTGGGTGGAAAGACATTTGGAATTTCAGGCTCACTGGGCTGAATGACCTGCTTCCACACTACGATTCTGTTCTATGATTCCAATCCACGTGATTGGAAAAGTGCAGCTCCAACAAGACATCAAGAGGCTTACATCATCCAGCATAAAGCAGTCCACAGATCCACCACTTTCAACATTCATTCCCTTCACTACTGACACATTGCAGTATTAGCATGTAACACCTACAAGGCGCAAAGCATTAAATCATCAAGACTCCTCCAACATCTTCCAAACTTGCGAATTCTACCACTTAGAAAGACAAAAGCAGTAGATGCCTGGGAGGACCACAATCTTGGAGTCCCCCTCCAAGCCACACACCACCCTGACCTATTACTGGGTTAAAATCAATGAAGTCCCTCAGCGAACTGTGAGTGTAACCAAACCATGCAGCGGTTCATGAAGGCAGCTTACCGCTACCTTCGCAAAGGTAATTAGGGATAGGAAAAAAATGCTGGCCTGGCCAGCAACACACACATCCCATGAAGAAATTTTAACAATTACTATTACCAGTAGCATGGATTTACCACAGCAGCTGACAAAGAAAATAAATTACCTAGATTTGGTGATTTGTAGATATCATCCATTGCAAATAGTGTCATATTCTACTTTTGCTGCTGAAATACACTTTGTAACAAAATTTACTCTCTATTTTCCATATTATTCCCTTTTCAATTCACCCAAAGATACTGAATAGTAGTGGTAAAGTCTAGAGCTCAATTATACCTCTGTGTTATGGTTGCTTCCTTCAGTCCACAGATTCCTATACATTGTGAATGCCTTCTTTATCCATTATGTTATGGAAAGGAGGGAACATTTTAATTTGATAACATAAATAGACCTGTGACTCTAGTCTCCTGTAGGCCACTTGGAGCCTGGTTTGGAAGCTGGATAGCTAGTCTACATGCAATGGATCAACACGAGATTGGAGACTCAGGACACCTTTGCAGAGAGGTTTGTTTGGCATTGTTGTCCCAAAATCAGGATCTAGAACTTGACAATCTTTGGAATTCATCACCATAGTAGTGCAAGGCAATAAGAAGTTCTCATCCTTCTGTTTAATATCTCCATAGATTTGCTTCCCACTGTCTTTGTAGACTTTTGAATCTCTACGACAATTATCCCATACTGTAATATCATTTATTTAAGAAAGAAAGTAATGATCAAATAGATGAATGAATAAAAGGTTATGCTGATAGGCTGGGACGAAGAGATACAGGAAAGTGTTCTTGCGGAGTATAAATGGCAGCAGAGACTTTTTGAGATAAGAGAGCTATTTCTGTGCTTTTGATGGAAGATGCATCATTGTTTGAGAATGACCAAGCTGCAACAGACTTCATTCCTGTCAGGACTGAAAGGTCCAATGAAAGATTAGCACTGACATCCGAAGACCCAGTGGCTCATGTTATTGGTGCTCAGGGAAACTACTGCAGGTGCACTGTCTCTTATCTTCCTCTAAGCAGATGGATATTTTGAGTTGGCATAAATAGTTCTTGAAGTATGCTGAACTAATTTTCAGTGTTTGCCTCCCATAAATGTAGCTCAGTTTTTTTCCCAGTAGTCCCAGTGGCAAATTGGTGATGACATTTATTTAAGAGTGCCGTTATATTATTTGTACTGACTACCTGAATGTTGTTTGCTCTGAGACAGCTCCCCCTTGAAGATCTGTGTTGTAAATTCTATACAATTCTATGTCATTGAAAGCTGTTGCATGTTTTCTGTTCAGAAGGGTCACGTTAGCAGAAAAGCAGGATTGTCAAGGTGAGAGATGATAGAATGTTAGCTGCAAACTATAGGGAATAATGACATTAGTCATTGTTATTATAAATGAATGCCATGTCAAATCATGGCAGAGAGTACAACCTTCATCATAGTAAAGGGCTAGTAAAGGACTTCAGTGGCCATGTGGATTCCCAACAGCTTTGCTGAGTGGAACAGCCGTGAGATATTGATCTATGGGGAAATTGATAGGAATCAGGCACATCATTTTAATGACTCCACCACTTCATTCCCACTAATTTAGAAGAATTGAAATTTCCTGTCAAAACAAAATTGAAAGTCAGACGACACTGGGTTATAGTCCAACAGATATATTTGAAATCACAAGCTTTCAAAACATTGACCTGAAGAAGGGGCAGTGCTTTGAAAGCTCATGATTTCAAATAAACCTGTTGGACTATAACCTGGTGTCATCTGACTTCTAACATTTTCCACTGCAGCCCAACACTGGCACTTCCATATCATGATCCTCAAAATGAAGCACTGAACCTTGAAAGCAGTTGACAGAATATTTCTATTTTTGAGCATTACTGAAAAAAATACATATTGTTGAAGCTTTTTGTCTTGCACTCATCTGGACAGACACAAGAATACCCTAAATTTCAAAAAGAGCAACAATTAATACTGAGATAACAAGGTGTAGAGCTGGATGAACACAGCAGGCCAAGCAGCATCAGAGGAACTAGGCCCGAAACATCAGCCTTCCTGCTCCTCTGATGCTGCTTGGCCTGCTGTGTTCATCCAGCTCTACACCGTGTTATCTCAGATTCTCCAGCATCTGCAGTTCCTACTA